TGGCGGTGCTCGGGGGACCCTATGGGATGCTGGGGATCGAACCCGGGTCGGCAGCATGCCAGGCCAATGCCCTTCCCTGCTGTGCTATCACTCCAGCCCTCTCTCTTTTCCTCTGTTGACCTTTCTTGCCCTCTCTCCTCCTCTCACCCCCCTGCCAATGACCCCCGAGTGAAAGGGGACACACATGTCCCCATGCCCAGCCCGTGAAGTCATGGCCAGCCTGAGCCACGGTGACACACCAGGCATCCGCTCTCAGGATGCTGAGGTGGCCTGTGGGTGGAGCTGATTGGACTGGAAGAGGCTAAGAGCTCGCACAGGTGTGAAGGTGTTTTTCTTGCACACTGCCAACCCGGGTTCGAATCCAAGCACCATATAGAGTCCCCCAAGACTCACCAAGAGTGAGCCCTGGGCAGAGAGCTAGGAGGAAACTGTGAGCACAGAGCCAGGAGTGACCCTGAGCACCGAACCAGGAGTCAGCCCTGAGCACAGAGCCGGGAGTGAGCCCTGAACGCAGAGCCAGGAGTCAGCCCTGAGCAGAGTCAGGAATCAGCCCTGAGCACAGAGCCGGGAGTGAGCCCTGAGCAGAGCCAGGAGTCAGCCCTGAACGCAGAGCCAGGAGTCAGCCCTGAGCACAGAGTCAGAAATCAGCCCTGAGCACAGAGCCGGGAGTCAGCCCTGAGCAGAGCCAGGAGTCAGCCCTGAACAAAGAGCCAGGAGTCAGCCCTGAACAAAGAGTCAGGAATCAGCCCTGAGCACAGAGCCAGGAAAGATCCCTGAGCAGAGCCGGGAGTCAGCCCTGAGCACAGAGCCAGGAGTCAGCCCTGAGCACAGAGCCGGGAGTCAGCCCTGAGCAGAGTCAGGAATCAGCGCTGAGCACAGAGCCAGGAACGATCCCTGAGCAGAGCCAGGAGTGAGCTCCGAGCACTGAGCCGGGACTGAGCCCTGAGCACAGAGCCAAGAGTCAGCCCTGGCCCGTGATTTTAATATTACCAAGAAAACTAACAATGCAAGTAAGAAAACCCGGAATTGCGGCCTAGATTTGGGAAGACAGGCGGGCAGGAAAAGACTGTCGAGTGTTTCACTGTTGAGTGTTAATCCTGGAAAATGTTCCCTTTGGAAGAGGAACAGCGACAGAAAAAAGCAATTTCTGCCCAGAGACTGCCCCCTAGTGGCGAGGCTTCAGACACGCATCCTCAAACAGCAGCATCGCGAGTTAGTTGTGCTCAGAGAAACAGCTCAGAACAGTGAATACCCACACGGCTTCCGATTTTTTTTCCTTCTTTCCTGTTTTTTGGGGGCCACATCTGGCTCTGTGCTCTGGGCTGACTCCCAGCTCTGTGCTCAGGGCTGATTCCCGGCTCTGTGCTCAGGACTGACTCCTGGCTCTGTGCTCAGGGTTAAGTCGTAGGGTTGCAACTAACTTTTTTTTTTTTTTTTGCTTTTTGGGTCACACCTGGCGATGCTCAGGGATCACTCCTGGCTCTGCACTCAGGAGTTATTCCTGGCGGTGATCAGGGGACCCTATGAGACACTGGGAATCGAACCCGGGTTGGCTGTGTGCAAGGCAAACGCCCTACCCGCTGTGCTATTGCTCCAGCCCCAGCAACTAACTTTGAAATCTTCTGGAGTCTGTCTTTTTTGGCTGATGGAACCCGAGATGACACAGTTAATTATCACTCCATCACTGATAAGACGCTTAAAAATATGGGCCTGGGGCCGCTGACCTGGGTTTATTTATTTATTTTTATTTTGTTTTTTTCTTTTTGGGTCCCACCCGGTGATGCTCAGGGGTTCCTCCTGGCTCTGCACTCAGGAATTACTCCTGGCAGTGCTCAGGGGACCCTATGGGATGCCGAGAATCAAACCCGGGTTGGCTGTGTACAAGGCAAACACCCTACCCACTGTGCTATCACTCCAGCCCCTGACCTGGGTTTAGATGCCTGCATCCCATAGGGTCCCCTGCCAGGAGTGAGCCCTGAGCACAGAGCCAGGAGTCAGCCTTGAGCACAGAGCTGGGAGTCAGCCCAGAGCACAGAGCCGGGAGTCAGCCCTGAGCACAGAGCCAAGAGTCAACCCTGAGCACAGAGCCAGGTGCCAGCCCAGAATGAAAACAAAACCATTGTGTGAGTTGCAGAGGCCAGATGGGAGGAACGGAAATGACCAACAAGCTGAACCCTGGACTTGCCTTCCAGCCTGGTTATGACCCTCCAAGGCCCTGTCTACAGTGACCTCAAGGCTGCTGTGTGTGTTTGGGTGCAGAATTGGGATTTTTTGTTTGTTTGTGGGGTCCCACCGGCGATGCTCAGGGCTGACTCCTGGCTCTGCACTCAGGGATCACTCCTGGCCGTGCTCAGGGGACCCTATGGGATGCCGGGGATCGAACCCGGGTCAGCCGCATGCCAGGCCAACGCCCTCCCCGCTGTGCTATTGCCCAGGTCCCTGGTTCATCACTCTTGATTGATTGATTGATTGATTGACTGATTGCTTTTTGGGTCCCACCTGGTGATGCTCAGGGCTGACTCCTGTCTCTGCACTCAGGAATCACTCCTGGCAGTGCTCGGGGGACCTTAGGGGATGCCGGGGATCGAATCCAGGTTGGCCGCGTGCCAGGCCAACACCCTCCCCTGGGTGGAGAGGGCTTTGACCCAGGTGCAGAGATGGAATCCACTGTCCACAGCTTTGCTGCATCCACCAAAGTGGCCATCAGAAGAGAGAAAACCACCACAGCCCCAGGAAAAAAACAACAACAACAAAAAAACCGCCCCAGATGAGGACACTGTGTGACTGAAAGCCAATCGTGGGCAACTTTGTAACTGCATTTCTCAAGGTGACTCGATTTTTTAGAAAGGGAGGGAGGAAACGCAGCAGGTGTGGAAGGGAGAGAGGCTGACAAGATGCCAGGCAAGAATCTCACCCATCAGCCTGTGGTCGGGCTAAGGGGACAGAGGAGGCAGGGAAGTCCCCGGGGTGCCCCACCCCCACCCTGCAGGGGTTGGGGGAGGGGCAGACAGTTTTGTTTGTTTGTTTGTTTGTTTGTTTGTTTTTTGGGTCCCACCGGGCGATGCTCAGGGCTGACTCCTGGCTCTGCACTCAGGAATCACTCCTGGCGGTGCTCGGGGGACCCTATGGGATGCCAGGGATCGAACCCGGGTCGACTGTGTGCAAGGCAAACGCCTTTTTTTTTTTAATAGTGAGACATCATGAGGTACAGTTGCGGACTTACACATTTTTGTGCTTGGGTTTCAGTTATACAATGATCAAAAAACGCCTCTTTTCTATTGAATCACCATAAGATGCAGTGACAAGGTGGCTCGCAGCTGGGTTTCAGCCATCCAGGGAATGTTCCAGGACCCGTCCCTTCACCAGGGGATGTTCCCCACCGCTAGTGCGGGCTGGGGGGATGGTTCTAGAGACATCCACAGACCAATCCAAGGCAGCAAACCTAGGAGGGGCGTGGGGTGGAGGTGGGGCTTGGTGGGGAGGGGAACAGGGTTCCAGATGCAGATGCCAGAGGCGGGTGGGGAGAACCACACACCCTCCCCCCAGGGAGCGCCTGGATCAAGCCATACCTGAGCCTGCAGGGCAGGGCAGCAGGACAGGACCAGAGAGGGACCCTGGGGAGCCGGAGGAGTGTTTATTTATTTCTGAGCAGGACAGACCAGAAAGGGAGCGCCAGAGGCAGGGTGGGTGTCAGAAGTGGGAACAGAGGAGCCTGGGGGGGTGGGGGGCTGTAATTCCCGCCACGGCCAACAGGGGGCGCCCCGCCTGGTCACACCTGGGGCCAAAGCGGGTCCAGGAAGCGCCTTTGCAGACCTGCAGCCCGGGACAGACAGGCACGCGGACAGACGGACAGGCAAGTGTCCACAGGCTTCCCACCCCCAGTCCCATAGCCAAGGGGACAGAGAGGGGTGTAGACAAGGACCCCCATCCGCCTCTCCCCCACCCCCGGCGTGGACACTGGGTCCTTGTGTCCCCCCACTCCGGGTCCGGCCTCCCCTGAAGGACTCAAGGGGGCTATTGGCACGTCCTGAGCTGGGCCAGGTCCGAAAAAGGGTCCAGGGTCTGTGTGGCTGAGAACGGGGCCAGCTGGCCTGCGGGCCTGGCAGGGGGCAGGGAGGGATGGGGGGGACGGGGAGGGGGGCAGCGGTGGGGGGGGGGCTTTGCTCGGCCCATGGCCAGCCCCGGTTCCATCCCTGGTACCTCACAGGGTCCCCCGAGCCCCGCAAGGAGTGATTCCTGAGGGCAGAGCCAGGAGGAACCCCTGAGCATCGCCGGGGGTGACCCAAAAAGTCAAATAATAATAATAATAATTATTATTATTATTATTATAAAGAGGAAAGGAAGCCGGAGCGATAGCACAGCGGGGAGGGCGTTTGCCTGGCACGCAGCCGACCTGGGTTTGATCTCCGGCATCCCACGGGGTCCCTCGAGCACCGCCAGGAGTCAGCCCTGAGCACTGAACTAGGAGTAACTCCACCTTCTTGAACACCCAATGCTCAGGACTGACTCCTGGCTCTGCACTCAGGAATCACGCCTGGTGATGCTCGGGGGACCCTGTGGGATGCCGGGGATCGAACCCAGGTCAGCTGCGTGCAAGAGAAACGCCCTCCCCGCTGTGCTATGGCTCCAGCCCCTCAGATCTGCTTTGTAAGCTTTTTTTTTTTTTTCATTTTTGGGCCACACCCGGCAGTGCTTGGGGCTGAGTCCTGGCTCTGCACTCAGGAATCACTCCTGACAGTGCTCAGGGGGCCCTAGGGGATGCCGGAGATTGAACTCGGGTCACCCTGTGCAAGGTCAGTACCCTCCCCGCTGTGCTATGGCTCAGGGGCCCCCATGCCCATGCCAGCGACCTTTGGCTTCCTGAGTTTGCTTCCTCTTCTCTCCAGGGGGGTTCGAGGCCCCCCGGGGGCCCCGTGAGGTCCCTCCCAGCCCCGCCTCTCCGGGCTGGGCTCAAACCTCACTTCCTGCCCCAGCGGCCACCAGCTCTCGGCTCTGCCAGACGTCTGCCTTCCAGGACCCTGGGCTGCAGACGCCCCACAAACGGAAGGACTTTGACCCCCGGGTTTTATCATTAATGACCAGGCCCCGAAGACAGGAGGATCTCTCTGTGCCTGTTCCATCATCGTCCACCGCTCAATGGCCTCCGGCAAGAAACCACTGCAAGGCCTGGTGGCCGCCACCATCACGCCCATGACAGAGCTCGGGTAATTGTCCCAGATGGACCCACCGAGGGCTGGTCCCCCTTTCTCCAGCCCACAGGGCGTTCTGGGCAGGAGAATTGGGCCTCAACCCCCCACCCCCACTCCGGGGGTCTCTCACTCCGGCTCAGAGAGCAGGTCAGAAGCTGGGAAATGGGACTGGTGGGACTCAGGGCTGGAGGGCGGGAGCAGGTGTGTCCTCTTAAATGTCACCCCTGCCCTGAATTTAGTGACTTGAGGGAGGGTGCTTCAGGGGCTGGAGCGATAGCCCAGCAGGGAGGGCGTTGGCCTTGCACAGGGCTGACCCGGGTTCAATCCCCAGCATTCCATAGGGTCCCCCAGCACTGCCAGGAGTCATCCCTGAGTGCAGAGCCAGGAGTCAGCCCTGAGCACTGACTGCTGGGTGTGACCCAAAACACGAAAAAAGAAAAAGAAAGAAAGAAAGAGAGTGGGTTTACTTTCCTATCTCAGTGGTTTTTGACTTTGCTTTAGAGCAATCAAGCTACCAAATAGATTCCAACTTTTCCTGTTTTGTTTATGTTTTGGCTGAGGGGGACACAGAGAGGTTTTGGTCACACCCGGCGATGCTCAGGGCTGGCTCCTGGCTCTGCATTCAGGAATCACTCCTGGTGGTGCTCGGGGGACCCTATGGGATGCCGGGGATCGAACCCGGGTCGGCCGCACGCCAGGCAAATACCATACATGCTGTGCTATACCTCCAGCCCTGAGTCCTGCCCCTTTAAAGGAGAGGACAATTCTCCAATTTCAGCATTTTCACTCTGAGCGGATGCAGGATGCAGAAATCAAAGTCTTTTGGCTGTTTTCTGGTTTGTTTGTTTAGTTGGGGCCACTGCTGGCAGTGCTCTGGGGGGGGGGGGGGTCTGCATACTGGGTTGGATCCCCGGCATCCCATAGGGTCCCCCGAGCACCGCCAAGAGGGATTCCTGAGTGCAGAGCCAGGAGTCAGCCCTGAGCATCGCCGGGTGGGACCCAAAAAGCAAGCAATCAATCAATCAATCAATAAAGAGTGATGAATCAGGGACCTGGGCAATAGCACAGCAGGTAGGGCGTTGGCCTTGCACATGGCCAACCCGGGTTCGATCCCCGGCATCCCCTAGGGTCCCCCGAGCACCGCCAGGAGGGATTCCTGAGTGCAGAGCCGGGAGTCAGCCCTGAGCATCGCCAGGTGTAGCCCCCCAAAACAAAACAAAACAAAACAAAAAATCGCCTTGGCCCTGGTTTTATTCTCAGTCTTGCTGACATGGCGTGTGACTTTCTCAATCAGTGCAGTGCACAGGCCCATCTCGGTCTGAAGTCAGTGTTTTCTGCACGTCCCTTTCCTGTGGGCAACTGAGGACAGGCTGGTGACCTCGTGAGCTCTGGCCCCAAAAGGAAGCGTCTTGCCTGTGCTTCTGATCCCAGAGTCTGACTGAATTCTTCCTCCCTCTTCCATTCTTTCCTGGGCACTAGGAAATGATTTGATATAACTAGGTGAGGTGGAGAGAGAAAGTGTTTTTCTTCTTTTTTTCTTTTTTTTTTTCCGTTTCTTCTGTGTCCACTTCCCTTTTATCTTGCAGGACCCTCATTGTAGCCTGAGGCACAATCTAATCCCGGGCCTGGAGGAAGGGGAACCAGCTGAGAACAGCAGTTTTTTTGTTTTGTTTTTTGTTTTAATTTTTATTCGTGAGACACCATGAGGTACAGTTGTAGACTTACAAATTTTTGTGCTTGGGTTTCAATTATACAATGATCAAACACCCATCCCTCCACCAGTGCCCATTTCCCACCACCACGGGTCCCAGTATCCCTCCCACCCCCCATGCCCCATCCCACCCTGCCTCTGTGGCAGGGCGTTCCCTTTTGTTCTCTCTCTCCTCTTGGGTGTTGTGGTTTGCGAAAGAGGCGTTGAGTGGCCATCATGTTCGGTCCATAGTCTACTTTCAGCATGCATCTCCCATCCTGGGAGAACAGCAGTTTTGCAAACGAACGGTCCTGGGTTCTAATCCTCCATTTCGGGCTGGACAGGGCTTAAGGCCTTGCTTGCATGGTCCTGACTACAGTAAGATCCCCAATACCACAAGGTTCCCCCCCCCCCCAGCACAGCCAAGTGTCACTCCTGAGCCCCGAGCCAGAAATAGTCCCCGAGCACCACACACTAAAAAATAATATTCTAAAAAAAATAATAATGGGGCTGGAGCAATAGCACAGCGGGTAGGGCGTTTGCCTTGCATGTGGCCGACCTGGGTTCGATCCCCAGCATCCCATATGGTCCCCTGAGCACTGCCAGGGGTGATTCCTGAGTGCAGAGCCAGGAGTAACCCCCTGTGCGTCGCCAGGTGAGACCCAAAAAAGCAATAGTAATAATAATAATAATATTCTTTTAAATACTCAGTGTGGGGCTGGAGCATTAGTCCAGTGGGGAGGGCATTAGTCTTGCTCGCAGCTGACCCAGGTTCGATCCCCGGCATCCCATAGGGTCCCCCGAGCATCGCCAGGAGTGATTCCTGAGTGCAGAGCCAGGAGGAACCCCTGAGAATCACCGGGTATGACCCAAAAAGTACAAAATAAAAAAATTTTTTTAATAGCACTACACTGTAGTACTGCCCTCCCGTTGTTCATCGATTTGCTCAAGCAGGCCCAGTAACGTCTCCATTTTGAGACTTGTTGTGACTGTGTTTGGCATCTTGAATACGTCACGGGGAGCTTGCCAGGCTCTGTCATGTGGGCAGGATACTCTTGGTAGCTTGCCAGGCGGAGGAATCGAACCCAGCTCGGCCGGGCTGGCTTCGTGCAAGGCAAATGCCCTAGCGCTGTGCTATCGCTCTAGCCCTAGTTGAAAAATATTAAATGAGGGGTCTGGAGCAATAACACAGTGGGTAGGGCGTTTGCCTTGCATGTGGCCGACCCGAGTTCAATTCCCAGTGTCCCATGTGCTCCCCCGAGCACCGCCAGGAGTGATTACTGAGTGCAAAGCCAGGAGGAACCCCTGAGCATCGCCTGGTGTGACCCAAAAAGCCAAAAAAAGAAAAAAGAAAAATATTACATAATAACACTCTAGGAAAGATGACAGAATTCATCCAAGAGAAGCATCAGATCCTATTTCCTACTCCTTGTTCTTTTTTATTTTCTTTTTGGGTCACACCCGGCAATGCTCGGGGGTTACTCCTGGCTCTGCACTCAGGAACCACTCCTGGCAGTGCTCGGGGGACCCTAGGGGATGCTGGGAATCGAACCCGGGTCGGCCGCGTGCCAGGCAAACACGCCCTGCTCGCTGTGCTATCGCTCCAGCCCCTCTGGCCATTTTTAAAAATAAAATGAATAAATACTAAAATTGATAAAAAGGGGAAAGAAAGTTGTGTAACCGCACAGGGTCGGGCTGGCTGAGTGAAACGGTTAAAATATTCTTATTGGGGCCGGAGCGATAGCCCAGCGGGGAGGGCGTCTGCCTTGCACGCGGCCGACCCAGGTTTGATTCCCAGCATCCCCTAGGGTCCCCTGAGCACCTCCAGGAGTGATCCCTGAGTGCAGAGCCAGGAGGCAGCCCTGAGCATTGCTGGGTGTGACCCAAAAAGCAAAAATAATAACAATAAAATAAAATACTCATATTCCTCCCGTTTTTGCCCCGCGTCCGCGTAGGGAGGTGGACACCGGGGTCATTGGCCGGTATGTGGATTACCTCGTGCAGGAGCAGGGAGTGAGAAGTGTGTTTGGTAAGTGACCCCCGGACCTTGTCATTCACGGGTGGGAGAGGCTGCTACTCGGGCCGGCTCGCCCAAGGCTCCAAGCTTGGCTCCCAGGGGCTTCCCCGGCCCTGACCCCCAGGACGCCCCTCAATACGGATGCTCTAGCAGGCTGGCGGCCCGTCTGCCAAGACACGTGTTTTGATTCACCTTGTTGGGGGCCACACTCAGGGGCGCTCGGGGGGACTCCCAGCTCAGTGCTCAGGGATCACTCCCAACAGTGCTCAGGAAATCGTAGGGGATGGTAGAGACCCAAGCCTGCCTGGCCCTGAGCAAGGCGGGTGCCCTCCCCGTCGGATGATTGGATGATCACTCAGGGCCCTTAAATCCCGTCTCAAGGAGAAAAGTTGGGCTCACATTTAGCGCTGAGGTCACCCAATCCCTCCCTCTCTCCTCCCTCCCTCCCTTCCCTCTTTCTCTACCTCCTTTTTTCCTTTCCTTCCTCCATCCTTACCTCTCTCCTTCCTTCCTTCCTTCCTTCCTTCCATTCTTCCTTCCTTTTTCCCTTCCTTCCTTCCTCCCTCCCTTCCTCCCTCCCTCCTTCCCTCTCTCCTTTCCTTCATTATTTCTATCATAAAATAACAAAACCCAGATCTCTCTCTCTCTCTCTCTCTCTCTCAAAAACGATTCCATCTGGGCCTGAGAGATAGCCCAATGGTTAGGGCACTTGCCTTGCACACGGCTGACCCGGGTTCAATTCCCAGCCCCCCTTAGAGGGTCCCCCCCAGCTCTGTCAGTGTGACCCCCGAGCACTGAGCCAGGAGTCCAGCCTGGCGTGACCCCCAGACCAAGCCCCCTGTTGCTCTTTCCACCCCAGTGAACGGCACCACGGGAGAAGGTCTGTCTCTGAGCCTGGCAGAGCGCCGCCTGGTGGCCGAAGAGTGGGTCACACAGGGGAAGAACAAGTGAGTGCGTTTCCCCTGGGGTCCCCTTCCGTGTCTCTGGAAGGTTCCAGGGTCCTCCACTTGCTGCCTGGACCTTGATCCCTGCACCTGGGGGTCTTGCAAAAACATCTTCCAGCTGGAGGTGCGGCTCACGAGCGCCTCCTAGTGGTGGGGTCGAAGGGAGGCGGTTTTCCCTGGGGCCAGAGAAGGGGGTGACAGGTTTGGGGGGGTCGTGCAGGAATATGGTGCTGAAGGCACCCTCTGGCCCCCCAAAGCACCACCAGGGGACCCCCTGATGACCCCAGCACTGTTTAATACCCAATCAAGCATCAATAGAAGTGACCCTCTGGTCCCCCCGTTTCCCCCCAAAAATACTGGACCAAAGGGCTAGTGGGGGGGTTAAGACCCTTGCCTGGCATGTGGCCAGCCTGGGTTTGATCCTTGGCACCATACAGGGTGCCCTGAGCGGCACCAAGGGAGCGGCCCCTTATACAGATAAGCAAAGATGGAGTGATAGCACAGCGGGGAGGGCGCTTGCCTGGCACGCGGCCGACCCGGGTTCGATCCCCGGCATCCCCTAGGGTCCCCCGTGCACCGCCAGGAGTGATTCCTGAGTGCAGAGCCGGGAGTCCGTCCTGAGCATCGCCGGGTGGGACCCAAAAAGAAAAAAAATAATAATAAAATAATAATATCTGGTCCATCACCCAGTTCAGCACCTTGATCAATATCTGATCCATCCATAGGGGCTGGAGCGACAGCACAGCGGGTAAGGCATTTGCCTTGCAAGTGGCTGACCCGGGGTTCGATTCCCAGCATCCCATAGGGTCTCCTGAGCACCGCCAGGAGTGAGTCCTGAGTGCAGAGCCAGGAGTCACCCCTAGCATCGCCGGGTGGGACCCAAAAAGCAAAAAAAAAACAAAAAAAAGCAAATAATAATACCGAGAGTATCTCACCCGCACGGCAGAACCTGGCAAGCTCCCCGTGACGTATTCGATATGCCAAACACAGTAACAACAAAGTCTCCAATGGAGACATTACTGGGCCCGCTCGAGCAAATCGATGATCAACGGGAGGGCCTTTACTTTACTTTACTTTACTTTACTACTAATAATAATAATAGCAATAATAATAATAAGGTAAGCAATGTCCCAACTCAACTGAGCCCTCCTCGCTGGGGTTTAATTGCCTTGAAATCAGGATGGGCGGGGAGCAGGATGGGTGGGCACCAGAGGGGGGGTTCTGGGCTGCCCTAAACTTGAGGGTCAGCCCCGCTGTGTTCCGCTTTGCAGGCTGGACCAAGTGGTCGTTCACGTGGGCGCCCTGAGCTTGAAGGAGTCCCAGGAACTGGTGCGTGAGCTGTTTCTGCGGGAAGGTCTTGGGCAGGGTTCGGGTGGGGCTCTTTTTTTTTTTTTTTTGACTTTTTTATTGCATCGCCGTGAGATAGACCCTGACAGAGCTGGGTTTCAGTCCGACAGGGTTCCAGCACCCGTCCTTCCACCAGGGCAAATTCCCAGCGCCAGGGTCCCCAGGGTCCCACCCATCACCCCCCATCCCTGCCTGCCTCTAGGGCAGGGGCTTTCCTCTCCCTCTCTTCCTCCCCCCCTCTCTCCCCCCCCCCCTTTAGGGCACTATGGTTTGCAATTCCGATCCTGACAGGTTATCAAGAATATCCATTTACCTACCTATAGGGGGGTCCATTTTTATGCGGAAGGTCAAGTCAATGCTCATTTCTGCCCTTCACTGGCTGCCATGTTGGAGATCAGGGCGCATGGTTCCCAGGAACAGGGACAGCCATGAGGAAGTAGGAGCTGGAGAGAGACAGAGACAGAGAGAGACAGAGGCAGAGAGACAGAGACTCAAGTCCTCAAGGATAACAGAAGCATGTGACAAACCTCCATTGTCCAGAAAGAAAAAGGCAAATTCCTCCGTGGCCCTAAAGCAGCTGGAAAGTGGGATTCAGAGCACAAAGAAGTGAGGCCAGAGCGATAGCACAGCGGGGAGGGCGTTGGCCTGGCAGGCGACTGACCCGGGTTCGATCCCCGGCATCCCCTAGGGTCCCCTGAGCCCCGCCAGGAGTGATTCCTGAGTGCAGAGCCGGGAGTCAGCCCTGAGCATTGCCAGGTGGGACCCAAAGCCTAAAGAAATGAATAAATTTAAAAGTAATTTTTTGGGGGGTGGGGGTTAGAGCGATAGCACAGCGGGGAGGGCATTTGCCTTGCACGCAGCCGACCCGGGTTCGATTCTCAGCATCCCATAAGGTCCCCCGAGCACCGCCAGGAGCAATTCCTGAGTGCATGAGCCAGGAGTCACCCCTGTGCATCGCCAGGTGTGACCCAAAAAGCAAAAAAAAAAAAAAAAAGTATTTTTTTTTTTAAGTCAGGGAAGGGGTGGAGCTGGGTTCAATTCCTGGCACCGCACAATCGTCCCACGTCACTAATAAGTTACTCTCAGAACCCAAAGAATTACAGAGCTTTGCTTTCTCATTCCTATATATGTTTTTTGGGGGTAGCAGTGGAATTGGGTCCCACCCGGCGATGCTCAGGGCTGACTCCCGACTCTGCACTCAGGAATCACTCCTGGTGGGGCTCGGAGGACCCTATGGGATGCCGGGGATCGAACCCTGGTCAGCTGTGGGCAAGGCAAAAGCCCTCCCTGCTGTCCTATCTCTCCGGCCCCTGGACATGAGCTTAAAATAAAGAAACTGTTGTTTTTTTGTATCTTTGGTTTTGGGGTCACTCCTGGCAGTGCTCAGGGCTGACTCCTGGCTCTGCACTCAGGAATCGCTCCTGGTGGTGCTCGGGGGACCCTATGGGATGCCGGAGGTCGAACCCGGGTCGGGCACGTGCAAGGCCAACGCCCTCTCCGCTGTGCTATCACTCTAGCCCATTATACTATTGATTTTGCTTTTTGGGTCCCACCCGGTGATGCTCAGGGCTGACTCCCGGCTCTGCACTCAGGAATCACTCCTGGCAGGGCTCGGGGGACCCTAGGGGATGCCGGGGATCGAACCCGGGTCGGCCACGTGCCAGGCCAACGCCCTCCCCGCTGGGCTCTCACTCCGGCTTCTTCTTGTAGCACATTTTTCTGAGTTTTGTGCCCCGCGTGAACAAGCTCAGGGACCCCAAGACGAGGTGGGAGTTTGGGGTGGCTCCAAGCTGTGCTCACCATAGTCGGCGGCCAGAGCGAAGAAGGCAGAGCGTGGCATGGGACTCCCTGAGCTCCGTTTCTTCTTTTAAAGGCTCGACACGCAGCAGACATCGGCGCTGACGGGATCGCGGTCATGGCTCCTTTTTTTCTCAAGCCCGGGAGCAAAGGTACCTGCATGGGTCAGAATGCAGCGCGCGTGTGGCCCTTCCTTTGCCTTTCTTCAAAGAATTTCAAAACTCTCAGGGCCGGAGAGACAGCACAGCAGGGAGGGTGTTTGCCTTACACGCAGCCGACCCGGGTTCAATCCCCGGCATCCCATAGGGTCCCCCGAGCACTGCCAGGAGTGATTCCTGAGTGCATAGCCAGGAGTCAGCCCTGAGCATCGCTGAGTGTCGCCCAAAATGCCAAATAATTCGTCGATTGCCTCGAGCAGGCCCCAGTAACGTCTCCTTCATCCTAGCCCTGAGATTATATTCAAGGCTCTTTAGGAGAATGAGACCCATCATTGTTACTGGTATTTGGCATATTGGGTAGGCCACGGGGAGTTTGCCAGACTCTGCCCTGTGGGCAGGCTACATTCGATAGCCTGCCAGTTTGTCCAAAGTAGGAATGAGACAATAAGATGTCATAGAAGATGTCCTGATAAGATGTCTCGAGGCCGCGAATGAGGCCGCGCGGTTCCGGGATCTGGATTTTATAGTCTCTGAGTCTTGGCCGCTGATGGGATTACACGGCGCCAGGGGGCCAGGTGGTGGGTGTGACCCCCGCCTACTGGAGTTTGGAGGATCTGGGTGGAGGATGCTCTGCCCAAATCCGAGTAGGCTTGGAGATCTCGGCCCCGGAACCCGCGTGGCTTTGTCCCTCTGCCAGTACCTTCAGGTGTGCGGAGAGTGGTCTCAGCATGGTGGTGGCTGGTCCTGGAGGTCTTCGGCTGCCGTAGCCCTGGTCGGGGCGGGGAGGAAAGCTCAACCCGCTCCCCTCCAAGGGACTCCGGGAAGGAACACCCAGGCGCGGGGGCAGAGACTGCACTGTTCTCGTCCGGGATCTGGATTTTATAGTCTCTGAGTCTTGGCCACTGATGGGATTACACGGCGCCAGGGGGCCAGGTGGTGGGTGTGACCCCCGCCTACTGGAGTTTGGAGGATCTGGGTGGAGGATGCTCTGCCCAAATCCGAGTAGGCTTGGAGATCTCGGCCCCGGAACCCGCGTGGCTTTGTCCCTCTGCCAGTACCTTCATGTGTGCGGAGAGTGGTCTCAGCATGGTGGTGGCTGGTCCTGGAGGTCTTTGGCTGCCGGAGCCCTGGTCGGGGTGGGGAGGAAAGCTCAACCCGCTCCCCTCCAAGGGGCCCCGGGAAGGAACACCCAGGCGCGGGGGCAGAAGACTGCACTGTTCTCGTCCGGGCGAGAACAGTGCCAAATAATAATAATAATAATAATAAAAGGTAAAGGTAAAGGCCCTCCCGTTGATCGTCGATTTGCTCCAGCGGGCCCAGTAACGTCTCCATTGGAGACTTTGTTGTTACTGTGTCTGGCATATCGAATACTCTCGGTAGCTTGCAGGGTCTCCGAGAGGGGCGGAGGAATCGAACTCGGGTCGGCCATGTTGGCCGCTTGTAAGGCGAACGCCCTACCCGCTGTGCTATCGCTCCAGCCCAATAATAATAATAATAACAATAATCACTGTCACTGTCCTCTTGTTGTTCATCGGTTTGCTCGAGCGGGCCCAGTAACAACAAGTTCATTTTGAGACTTGTTGTCACTGTGTTTGGCATCTCGAATACGTCACGGGGAGCTTGCCAGGCTCTGCCGTGCAGGTGAGATACTCTCGGTAGCTTGCCGGGCTCTCTGAGAGGGCCGGAGGAATCGAACCCGGCTCGGCCAGGCTGACTTCGCACAAGGCAAACACCCTACCTCTGTGCTATTGCTCATAATAATAAGAATAATAATAAAGAGGGACGGGGCTGGAGTGATGGCACAGCGGGGAGGGTGTTTGCCTTGCACAAGCCAACCCAGGTTCGATCCCCGGCATCCCACAGGGTCCCTGGAGCACTGCCAGGAGTAATTCCTGAGTGCATGAACCAGAAGTAACCCCTGAGCATTGCCGGGTGTGACCCAAAAAAGCAAAAAATAAATAAATAAATAAAGAGGGAAGGAGGCCAGAGCAATAGCACAGCAGGGAGGGTGTTATCCTGGCAAGTGGGCGACCCGGGTTCGATCCCCGGCATCCCCTAGGGTCCCCCGAGCACCGCCAGGAGTGATTCCCTGAGTGCAGAGCCAGGCAGGAGTCAGCCCTGAGCATCGCCGGATGCGACAGCCCCCCAAAAAAAAGGAAAAAGAAAAAAAAATGGAACTGGGGAGATAGCTCAGTGGTTAGGGCATTTGCTTTGCATGTAGCCAACCAGGGTTGGGTTCCCAGGTTGGACCCCGTATGGTCCCCCCGCCCCGAGCCCGCCAAGTCCAGTCAGGTATCTCCCTTCCTCCTCTCCTTGCAGATGCCCTGGTGAGCTTCCTGGAGGAGGTGGCCGCCGCAGCTCCCACTCTGCCCTTCTACTACTACCATATTCCAGGCATCACAGGGGTGAAAAGTAAGTACTGACGCCCCCTCCAACTCCCCAACGTCCCCCTCAGCTCCCTGGAGCACCCCAACTCCATCCCACTCCACCCCACTCTGCTCATCGAGAAGATTGTTTTTATTCGTGGTTTTGTTTCTTTTAGTGCTTTTTGGGTCCCACCCGGCGATGCTCAGGGCTGACTCCCGGCTCTGCACTCAGGGATCACTCCTGGCGGTGCTCGGGGGACCCTAGGGGATGCTGGGGATCGAACCCAGGTCGGCTGCATACCAGGCCAATGCCTCCCTGCTGAACTGTTTAGTTCTGTGACTCTAATTATTATTATTATTATTATTATTGTTGTTTTGGCTTTTTGGGTCCCACCCGGCGATGCTCAGGGCTGACTCCCGGCTCTGCACTCAGGGATCACTCCTGGCGGTGCTCGGGTGACCCTAGGGGATGCTGGGGATCGAACCTGGGTCGGCTGCATACCAGGCCAATGCCTCCCTGCTGAACTGTCTAGTTCTGTGACTCTAATTATTATTATTATTATTGTTTTGGCTTTTTGGGGTCCCACCCGGCGATGCTCAGGGCTGACTCCTGGCTCATACACTCAGGGATCACTCCTGGTGGTGCTCGGGGGACCCTAGGGGATGCCGGGGATCGAACCCGGGTCAGCCGCCTGCCAGGCCAACGCCCTCCCCGCTGTGCTGTCGCTCCAGCCGCAATAAGATTGTTTGTTTGGAACCCACACCCAGCAGTGTTCAGGGAATGCTCCTGACTCTGTGCTCAGGGATCCAGGGATCAAACCCGGGTCAGCCACCTACAAGGCAAACGTCCTGCCTGCTCTTCCATTTCCCAGAAAACTGCCGGCATTCAATGAAATATTTGAGATTTTTATTTTTATTTTGCTTTTGGGGATGGGGGGGGTCACACTTGGCGATGCTCAGGGGTTCCTCTGGCTTTGCACTCAGGAATTACCCCTGCCGGTGATCGGGGGACCCTGTGGGATGCTGGGGATCGAACCCGGGTCGGCCACGTGCCAGGCAAACGCCCTCCCCGCTGTGCTATCGCTCCAGCCCCTCAATGGAACCTTTTAGATTGTGTTTTTAAAGCCCCATTTCTGGACCAGAGAGATAGTCCAAGGTTAAGGCACTTTCCTTGCAGGTGACTGACTCAGTGATGTCCAGCACCGTATCTGGTTCTCTGAGCACCACTGGGAGTGACCTCAGGAGTATCCCCTGGGTACCACCAGGGATGGCCCAAAACACACACCCAAAAAAATCCTCTTCTTGGGACCAGGGAGATAGTACAGTGGGTGAGACACTGGCTTCTCACACACACCAGCCAGCTGTGATCCCCAGCACCCCATAGGGGCCACTGAGCCCCCCTAGGAATGACCCCTGGGAACACAGCCAGGACTAAGGCCTGAGCACCGCTGGGTGTGTGCCCCTCAAAAAAAAAAAAAAAGGCATCTCATTCCTTTCCAGTTTCGGTAAAGAAAAAAAAATGGGCTGGAGCGATAGCACAGTGGGTAGGGCATTTGCTTTGCACGCGGCTAACCCGGGTTCGATTCCCGGCATCCCATAGGGTCCCCCGAGCACTGCCAGGAGTGATTCCTGAGTGCAGAGCCAGGAGTCAGCCCTGAGCATCGCTGGGTGGGACCCAAGAAGCAAAATAATAATAATAATAATAATAATATTGGGTCCATCACCCAGTTCAGCACCTTGATCGATATCTGATCCATCCATAGGGGCTGGAGCAATAGCACAGCGGGGAGGGCGTTTCCCTGGCACGCGGCCGACCCGGGTTCCATTCCCAGCATCCCATAGGGTCCCCCGAGCACCGCCCGGAGTGAGTCCTGAGTGCAGAGCCGGGAGTCAGCCCTGAGCATCGCTGGGTGGGACCCCAAAAAAAAAGAAAAGAAAAGAAACTGGGAATGACGTGCTTTGCCGCTTCGAGCAGTCCGTGCCGAGTCCCTGCTGGAGGGAATCCAGGAGAAGATCCCCAACTTCCAGGGGCTGAAGTTCAGCGACTCGGATCTGCTGGACTTCGGGCAGTGCGTGGACCAGAACCATCACGGGCGTTTGGCCCTCCTGTTCGGCGTGGACGAGGTGGGTGCCGGCCGCCCCCTTCCCGGCTCTGCCTGTGTCTTCCCGGCTCTGTCCTGCCTGCCTGAAGCTCCTCTCTGTTTCCCGACAGCAACTGCTGAGTGCGCTGATGATGGGGGCCACCGGAGCTGTGGGCAGGTAAGCTAGACGCCAGGACGCCCCTCCCCGCAGGGCAGTCGAGGCCGGAGCCCGTCTGTCTCCCTGCCTGCCTTTGCCACTAGAACTGGATGCTCAGGGGCCCCGAGCGACAGGACAGCGGGGAGGGTGCTTGCCTTGCACGTGGCCGAGCCGGGTTCGATCCCCCTGAGCACCGCCAGGAGGGGTCCCTGAGTGCAGTCAGGAGCAAGCCCTGAGCATCACCGGGTGTGGCCCAAAAAAACAAGAAGAAAAGAGGGAGGGAAGGAAGGAAGGAAGGAAGGAAGGGAGGAAGGAAGGAAGGGAGGAAGGGAGGAAGGGAGGAAGGGAGGAAGGGAGGAAGGGAGGAAGGGAGGAAGGGAGAATGGAAAGAGGGTGGGAAAGAGGAAGAAAGGAAGAAAGAAAAAGAATTTTGGAGGAAAGGAAAGAAAGATGAAAGGAGGGAGAGAATGAGAGAGGGAGGGAAGGAAGGAAAGATAAAGAAAGAAAGAATAAATGAATTTAGGAAAGAAAGAAAGGAAGGAAGGAAGAAAAAAGGAAGCAGCAGCTCCACTGGTAGCCAAAACACACACATGTACACACATGCACGCTTGCACACAAACGCACTCACACGCAAACACATGCATACACGCAAACACACACGCACATATACGCACGCACACACGCACATGCGTACACACGCACACACACGCACATGCGTACACACGTACACAGATACACATGCACATACACACATGCAAACATGCACGCACAAACATGCACACGCACATACGTACACGCAAACACGTACACACATGCATACACATGCAAACACACATGCGCACACATGCACACACATATACACACATACACATGCAAACACACACGCAGACACATACACACATGCAAACACACGTGCGCACACACACAGAGCAGAGTTGCATGGAGCACACTGTGTGCATGTGGGGACCCCGGAGTTCAGATTTTCACCCTCAAAGCTGCTTCAGCCTGGAGCTGCCTCCCTGGCACGCAGAACCTCTAGCTTCTTCCTCTTCGTTCTCTGGTGTTTACTTGGGGAGTCACGTCCGACTGTGCTCAGGGCTGCCTCCTGGCTCTGCGCTCAGGAATCACTCCTGGCCAGGTGCTCCGGGGCATCCCTGGGTCAGCCGCGTGCAAGGCAAATGCCTTCCCCGCTCGGCTCGTCTTGGTCTTCAGGGGCTGTTTTTGCTCCTTCAAACCTCATGGCCAGGGGCTGGAGAGATAGCACAGCGGGTTGGGTGGTCCCAGCATCCCCTAGGGTCCCCCGAGCACTGCCAGGAGTGATCCCTGAGTGCAGAGCCGGGAGTCAGTCCTGAGCATCGCCGGGTGGGACCCAAAAGGAAGAAAAAAAAAAAAACCTCATGTCCAGATTCTTCCCTTTCTTTTTTATTTTTATTTTTTTATTTTTCTTTTTGGGTCCCACCCGGCGATGCTCAGGGGTTCCTCCTGGCTCTGCACTCAGGAATCACTCCTGGCGGTGCTCGGGGGACCCTAGAGGATGCTGGGAATCAAACCCGGGTCAGCTGTGTGCAAGGCAAACACCCTCCCCGCTGGGCTATCGCTCCAGCCCCCAGTTCCTTCCCTTTCTCTCTGTTTTGTGATGCCGTTCAGCTCAGGTCCGCCCCCACAGAGATCCTGGGAGAAGCGGGTGGGGCGTCTAGAAAGATCTTCCTCACTGACCTCTGACCCGGGATGCTCTCTTTCACCCAGCACCTACAACTACTTGGGGAAGCAGACCAGTCAGATGGTGGAGGCTTTCCAGCGGAAGGATTTCTCCTCTGCACAGAACTACCAGGTTCTTTTCTTTCTTTCTTTTTTTAATTTAAAAAAAAAAAAGGTTTTTCTTCATTTCGTCACCATGAATTACAAAGTTGTTCGTGTTTGGGTTTCAGGCACGGGGTATGCCAACCCCTCCTCCCTTGGCACCAGATGATTTTTCTGTTCCTTAATTCTCATCCTGGCCTTTCTTCCCTTCCTTGCCTGGAAAAAAATTCTTCCTTTCTCGTCTCCAATTCTCATAACTGGTCTCCCACGAATCGTCTCTTTAGGGCTGGAATCATAGTCAAGTAGGAAGGGTGTTTGCAAAATATGAAGATAAAAGACCCGAAAGAAGCTCAAGGCCTTCCATGCAAGAACCCCAGGCCTGACACACCACTGGGTGGGACCCCAGAGGACCCCTGAGCAACACTGCATGTGGCCCCCAGACTGAAAAAAAATCACGATCATAATCACGATCATCCTGTTGTTCGTCGATTGCATCAAGCAGGCACCAGTAACGTCTCCTTCTTCCCAGCCCTGAGATTTTACTTTTTTATTTTTTATTTTTATTTATTTTTGCTTTTTTGGGTCACACCCTGTGATGCACAGGAGTTACTCCTGGTTCATGCACTCAGGAATTACTCCTGGCGGTGCTCGGGGGACCCTATGGGATGCTGGGAATCGAACCTGGGTCGGCTGGGTACAAGGCAAACGCCCTACCCGCTGTGCTATCGCTCCAGCCCCAGCCCTGAGATTTTAAAAGAGCAATATTCAGTGCTCTTTCAGGGTTAGGAGAATGAGACCCATCATTGTTACTGGGATTTGGCATATTAAATATGACACGGGAGGTTTGCCAGACTCTGCCCTTTGGGCAGGATACTTTTGGTAGCCTGCCAGGTTCTCCAAAGGAAAAAGAAGATAATAAGATGTCGCGTGGCCGCAAATGTGGCTGCGCGCTTCCGGGAGCTGGGTTTTATAGTCTCTGTGTCTTGGTCGTTGATGGGACCAACCTGGCACTGGCAGCAGCTGTTGGGTGTGACGCCTACCTACTGGAAGATGGAGGGTCTGGGTGGAGAAGGCCCAGTCCCAATCTGAGTAGACTTGGAGACCTCAGCCCCGGGAACTGCATGCCTGGGTTCCTCTGCCGGTTCCTTCGTGCATGAAGCTTGTCTGGACGTGTGGAGAGTGGTCTCAGCATGGCTGTGGCTGGTTCTGGAGGTCTTCGGCTGCTGGGGCTCTGCTGGGGGTGGGAGGGGGAATTCAACCCACCCCCCTCCAAGGGGCCTTGGTGAGGACAGCCAGGCGCGGGGGCAGGAGACTGACACTGAAAAATAATACAGCAAAGAAACAAAATCTATTACACATCACTTTTTTTTTCTTTTTGGGGTCACATCCAGCGATGCACAGGGGTTCCTCCTGGCTCTTCACTCAGGAATTACTCATGCTGGTGCTCAGGGGACCCCATGGCATGCTGGGAATGAACCTGGGTCGGCTGCGTGCAAGGCAAACGCCTTACCTGTTGGGCTATCGCTCCAGCCTCAGTAATGCTTTTTCACCACAAAGTCAAATGATGCATCTGCTAAATATATCCTAAATTGATGGATTTTTTTTTAATTTGGAGTCACAGCGTGCAATGCTCAGGGCTTATTTACTCCCAGCTCTGTGCTCAGGGATCACTCCTGGCAAGGCTTAGGGGACCCTATGGGATGCTGGGGATTGAACCCAGGATAATCTCATGCAAGGCAAATGCCCTACCCGCTATATTATTGCTGCAGTCCCAAAATTATCTTTTTTTTTTTGAGGGGGGGGTTGGCATGCCCAGTAGTTGTTCTGAGCTGACTCCTGACCCTACACTCAGGGATCTTTCTTGGCGGGGTTCAGGGAACCCTCCGGGGTATCCCGGGTTGAACCAGGGTCTGCCCTGTGCAAGGCAAACGTCCCTCCCGCCGTACTCTTGTTCCAGTCCCTGCATGTGAATTACTACTCATGTGATCAATTTTAGAAAAGAGTTCTGTGAGGCATTGAGAATGAAGAAATCACTTCCCCAAACGCTGAGTCTTAGCTTCGTGCCCTCTGGGAGCCTAGAAAGTATCTCCGGACAGAATGTGTCACTCTGAAAATAATCGACCGACCAACGCTTAGTTTGTCTGCCTCAGCTAAGCGGCGCCCAGCCTCCCCGAGCTCTCTATTCTATTAGCAAGTTTCTTTCTTTTTTTCTTTTTTCTTTTTTTATTTATTTATTTATTTTTTTTTTTTTTATTTATTTATTTTTGCTTTTTTGGTCACACCCGGCGATGCACAGGGGTTTTTCCTGGCTCTGTGCTCAAGAATTACTCCTGGCTGTGCTCGGGGGACCCTATGGGATGCTGGGAATCGAACCTGGGTTGGCCGCGTGCAAGGCAGACACCCTCCCTGCTGGACCATCCTCCGGCACCCCCAAGAAACTCTTTTTTTTTTTTTTTTGGCTTTTTGGATCACACCTGGCGATGCACAGGAGTTCCTCCTGGCTCTGCACTCAGGAATCACCCCTGGCGGTGCTCAGAGGACCCTATGGGATGCTGGGGATCGAACCCGGGTCGGCCATGTGCAAGGCAAACGCCCTCCCCACTGTGCTATTGCTCCAGCCCCTTTTTTTCTTTTTTAAACTTTATTTATTTTGAGGGGGCCACACCTGGCAATGCTCAGGGCTGACTCCCGGCTCTGCACTCAGGAATCACTCCTGGCGGTGCTCGGGGAACCCTATGGGATGCCGGGGATTGAACCTGGGTCAGCCGCGTGCCAGGCGCACGCCCTCCCCGCTGTGCTATCTCTCTGGCCCCCCCAAGTTTCTTTCTTCAACGGACCCACCCTCACTTCCTGTAGAAAAAAAAACCCTCCCTCCTCTGAGATGAAACTAAGCCACCCGCCCCTTCTCCATCCCTCCACACCCTGGGGAGAATGAAGGGGCGGGAACTTCAGATTCCCCACCTCGGGGTGAGCTGACTTCAGATTTCTTTGCTCTGTCCTAGTTTTGCATCCAGAGGTTTGTCAGTTTTGTCATCAAGCTGGGTAAGTTCCCTGCTCTGCCCGGGACTGTGATGGCCATTCCAGCTTCCCCGCCAACACTGCCCATGTCTCAGTGATGCTCTCCCATTAGGGGCTAGGGGGTACCACAGCCGGCTGGAAGGTCATGCCTGGGATCCCATGGTTCTTAGCTTGGGAGGTCCACAAAAAAAAATAAATAAAAATCTTCATGGGGCCGGAGCGATAGCACAGTGGGGAGGGCGTTGGCCTTGCACGCAACTGACCCGGGTTCGATTCCCAGCATCCCATAGGGTCCCCCGAGCACCGCCGGGAGTGATTCCTGAGTGCAGAGCCAGGAGTCAGCCCTGAGCATCGCCGGGTGGGACCCAAAAAGAAGAAGAAAATCTCCACTCAGCCAGGGGACGCATTCAACGAGGCTGCACCATATATCTGCCTCCAGCATCGCTCTGACCTTTCAGAGAGCTCAGAATGGCGCCCCAAAGTTCACCCCACCCCCCGTAACAGGGTTCAGACACATGCCCCTGTGTGAGACCAACCCTGTTTCCGTTCCCACCCCCATGCGGTCTCCAGTCACCCAAAAAGAAAAGAAAAAAAGACACTCTCTGGGCTGGAGCGATAGCACAAACATCCACAAGAAGCGACCTGACCTTGGGCCGAAGAAATAGCACTTGGGAAGGGTCATTGCTTTGCATGCAGTGGACCCTGGTTCGATCCCTGGCATCCCATAGGGTCCCCCGAGTAACTTGGGAATAATTATGATTTTTTTTTTTTTTTGCTTTTTGGGTCACACCCATCGATGCTCAGGGGTTACTCCTGGCCTTGCATTCAGGAATCACTCCTGGCGGTGCTCGGGGGACCCTATGGGATGCTGGGAATCGAACCCGAGTCGGCCGCATGCAAGGCAAACACCCTACCTGCTGTGCTCTCTCTCCAGCCCGAGGAATAATTATGATTTTTTTCTGTTCTTTTTTTTTTTCTGTTTGTTTGTTTTTGCTTTTTGGGTCCCACCCAGCATTGCTCAGGGCTGACTCCCAGCTCTGCACTCAGGAATCACTCCTGGCGGTGCTCGGGGGGACCCTATGGGATGCCGGGGATCGAACCTGGGTCGGCCGCGTGCCAGGCAATCACCCTTCCCAAGTGCTATTTCTTCGGCCCAAGGTCAGGTCGCTTCTTGTGGATGTTTGCAGCCTCGGTGACTTGCCTTGTGTTTTATCTCCTGTAGGTTTTGGGGTGGCCCAGACCAAAGCCGTCATGAGCCTGGTGTCGGGGATCCCCATGGGCCCCCCGAGGCTGCCCCTGCAAAGGGCCTCTCCGGACTTCATTCGTCTCGCCGAGGCCAAGCTGAAGAGCTTGGGTTTCCTTTCTTCAGCTGGTGCCGAGGATGAAAACTCAGAGGCCTGAGGCTAGCGACTCTCTCTGGAAGCTGGTTTTCTTTCCTGGCTCCTTTTCCCCACCTAAGCCTTTTCCTAGTCAATAAAAGCTCCATCAATCCGAATTTTCCTTGTTTGCTTTTGGGTTTCGGGGACACAGTCCAGGGCACTCAGAGATCACTCCTGGCAGGACTTGGGGGAGCAGATGGGATGCCAGGAGTTGAACCAACTCGGCCTGGTACAAGGCAAAACGCACCCACGCTCTGGCGCCTTGATATGAATTTGAAGTCCCTTTCATGATCCTAAATGATGTGAAGGAGCAAAACGTCTGAACCGAGTCACGAGCTCCAGGTCAGGGAAGATTTTACTGAATTTTCCCGGTGAGGGAGGAAGTTTTTGCAACGTAAAGAGGAAATGAACTCCAGGAAACTGTGATTGATTGAGATTGATTTTTTTTTTTTTTTTTTTGCTTTTTGGGTCACACCCGGCTTTGCACAGGGGTTACTCCTGGCTCTGCACTTAGGAATTACCCCTGGCAGTGCTCAGGGGACCTTATGGGATGCTGGGAATCGAACCCGGGGCAGCCGAATGCAAGCCAAACGCCCTCCCCGCTGTGCTATCACTCCGGCCCCAATTGAGATTGATTTTATCTGACTTTTGCAGTTCCTGTAATCTTCATCTCCATTTCTGGTTTTTAATCCTTTTTTTTTTCTTTTGCTTTTTGGGTCACACCCGGTGATGCACAGGGGTTCCTCCTGGCTCTGCACTCAGGAATTTACTCCCGGCGGTGCCCACGGGATCCTATGGGATGCTGGGAATTGAACACGGGTCAGCTGCGTACAAGGCAAACGCCCTCCCCACTGTGCTATCGCTCCAGCCCCTTTAATCCTATTTTTCAAGTTTCCAATTTGGGGCTGGTGATAGTACGTGATAGAACCAGGAGGGGCACTTACCTTGCACACGGCCAACCCTGATTCTATCCCGGCATCCCTTAGGGTCCCCTGAGCACCAGCAGGAGTGGTTCCTGAGGGTTCCCTGAGCACCAGCAGGAGTGGTTCCTGAGTGCAGAGCCAGGAGTCAGCCCTGAGCATCGCCACGTGTGGCCCCCAAAAATGCACACAGGGCCAGAGCGATAGCACAGCGGGTAGGGCGTTTGTCTTGCATGCGGCCAACCCGGGTTCGATCCCCGGCATCCCATATGGTGCCCCGAGCACTGCCAGGGGTAATTCCTGAGCGCAGAGCCAGGAGTAACCCCTGTGCATTGCCGGGTGTGACCCAAAAAGAAAAAAAAATGCACACAACTTAAACTAATATGATGATGATATTATCTACTTCTACTAATTAATAAATATTTGTTTGGAATTTAGAAAATCTCAGACTTACTGCATTCAGACAAGTTCAGTAGTTTTGTACCACATTACATGACTCAATCTCTTTTTTTTTTTTTTGGCTTTTTTGGATCCCACCCAGCGATGCACAGGGGTTACTCCTAGCTCTGCACTCAGGAATCACTCCTGGCGGTGCTTGGGGGAACCCTATGGGATGCTGGGAATTGAACCCGGGTCAGCCGCGTGCAGGACAAATGCCCTGCCCGCTCTGCTATCACTCCGGCCCCTCATGACTCCATCTTCTATGTCAAAACCTGGGCAGAGTCTAGCTCTAGAAAATGTAATTTTGGAGCGGGAGGGAGTATGTTTGCCTGCCACGAAGCCCACCCAAGTTGCATCTGTGGCCTCCTACGTGGTCCCTGAGCACCGCCAGGCGTAATTCCTGAGTGCAGAGCCAGGAGTAATCTCTGAGCATCACTAAGTGTGGCCCCAAAACAAATTAAAAAATCTGCTTTCAGAGTCATTACAACATTTCCTCCCCTAAACATTGCCTTAAGGGGAAGATCTGCTTCCGCTTCTGCAAGGAAAGGGTGAGTTTTTCTCATCAAAGAGGAAAAGAGAAATTCAAAGTTTCACTTCTAGGGGCAGGAGAGAAAGAAAACTTTTTTTTTTAATAAATGCGGTGGTTTACAAAGTTGTACTAAGATGTGGTTCCCGGTGAAGCCTTCTGTTCGTTTTTTTTTTTTCTTTTTGGGTCACACCTGGCAATGCACAGGGGTTACTCCTGGCTCTGCGCTCAGGAATTACCACTGGCAGTGCTCAGGGGACCATATGGGATGCTGGGAATCAAACCTGGGTCGGCCGCATGCAAGGCAAATGCCCTACCCGCTGTGCTATCGCTCCAGCCCCAGTATTTTGTTAATTGAGATTAGTTGCCTCCTACAATACAATGCCATCCGATCTGGTGTATTACATCTGGTTTATCAGTGTTGTACAGTTTGAGCACATTTGCAAAAAAAAAAAAAAAACAGCTCCAGGAAGTCCAAAATTTACAAAGGAGCGATACAAAAAAACATTAAGCTGGCGGGGCTGGAGTGATAGCACAGCAGGTAGGGTGTTTGCTTCCCACGCGGTCAACCTGGGTTCGATCCCCGGCATCCCATGTGGTCCCCTGAGCACTGCCAGGAGTGATTCCTGGGTGCAAAGCCAGGAGTAACCCCCTGAGCATCGCCAGGTGTGACCCAAAAAGGAAAAAAAAAATAAGCTGGAGTTAAATTTTTCACTGGGTGGCATCTTTGGGGCACGCACATGACTGCCGACGTTTCTGGAAGTACAGGGAGATGGGGGGAGATAGCCCACCCCAACTCCATGAAAGCCTGGCAGTTTCAGTCACAAAACCCACTTGTGTGAGTTTTTCTACAGATTAATGTCTAGATGAGGCTCAGCTGAGCAGTATAGTCCAGCCGGGAACCGAGCAGGGATCGTGGAGTGTGGAGGTCTTCCGTGGCCAGGGTTCGGTTTGGGTGGGTGCTGAGTCCACCCGCCACCCTCCAGCATGCGTCAGTCAGTTGACTCAGCCTGGAGAGAGGTCAGGAAGCATCACAGGAGATACGGCATTTTACAGGCTTTTCAGGTCTGGGTTCCATTCCTGATACCGCTATGGTTGTATGGCCCCCTCAGTTGTCATGACAACCCTCCAACACGCCCCCCCCCTCACCACATCACCTCAGGAAATGACCTCCAAGCATGGCTCAAAAATAAATTAACGACGTGATTCATTAAAATAAGGGAAAAAATTAAAAATAAATTAAGTAATTAAAAAAAAAAAGTAAAATGTAAAAGTTTTGACTTTTGGTGCTGTGGAGAGATCTCCTGCCCTTTTGCTTTTCCATGCTTTCAGTGATAGAAGATTCCAGAAGGGAAGGTCTCTCTTTAACTCTCCACATTTTCTGGCTGTTCCTTCTCCTGATCAACTGGACAGTTGACTCCCTACTTACAAGTCTGCGCCAGTGCTCGGACACCTAAGTGCGCCCATCCATAGCCGGGTCGGTCAATTACCTGAGCGTTTTTTGCTGCCCAGTGTGTCAATTACCTGAGCGTTTCACTGCCAACCTGTCCCGTTTCCTGTGTCAGCCTTCCACTGCCCCACCTGTCCGGTTCCTGAGCATTTCAGGCCTCATTTCCTGAGCGTTTCACTGCACAGTGTGTCAGTTACCTGAGCGGTTCACTGGGCAGCCTGTTTCCTCAGCGTTTCACTGAGCAGCCTGACCGTTTTCCTGAGCGTCGTTTTCCTGAGCGTTTCCCTGCACAGCCTGTTCGTTTACCTGAACGTTTTCCTGCAGCCTGCCCGTTTCCTGAGCGTTTCACTGCCCGGCCTGTCCTTTCCTCAGCGGTTCACTGCCTAGCCTGTCCGTTTTCCTGAGTGTGATTTTCCTGAGTGTTGTTTTCCTGAGCGTCAATTTTCTGAGCGGTTCACTGCCCAGTGAGCTGTTTCACTGACTGGCCTGTGTTTCCTGAGCAGTTCACTGCAGTGTGTCAACTACCTGAGCAGTTCACTGCCCGGCCTATCAGTTTCCTCAGCATTTTCACTGCCCAGCCTGCCCGTTTTCCTGAGCGTTTCACCGTCCCGTGTGTCAATCACCAGAGCGTTTTCACTGCCCAGCCTGTTCATTACCTACGATTTCCCTAAACTTCTCTTTCAGCAGAGGAAAAAATTCAGATTCTCAGCCATTTTTTTCACTCAGTTTCTCTTTCACGTGAAATTAAAAAAAAAAAAATCTGACTGGAAATTGTTGAATAAAGCCTGGCGATGGACAATGCTAATTCTCTCAGGTTGCTCCCAAGCGCCCCAAGTGTGCAGTTCTTGCAAACTCTCCAACCCTCCTTGCACGACTGAGGGGTCTCTGTGGGAGGCCGGGGGTCGAACCCAGGCCAGTCAGGTGCAAGGCCAAGGCCCTCCCGCTGCCCTATGACTCTGCCCCCCCACCCCCCAGTGCTCCTGGGGATGTCCAGGGCTTTCTCTGGCCGGGCTAGGGTGGCCTGTCCCCCTCAGCTAGCTCCCTGGGAAAACATATTCCCCCTCATGTGACAATCATTTTTTTTGTTTTTTGGGTCCCACCCTGCGATACTCAGGGGTTACTTCTGGCTCATGCACTCAGGAATCACTCCTAGCAGTGCTCGGGGGTCCCTATGGGATGCTGGGAATCGAACCCGGGTCGGCCGCGTGCAAGGCAAACACCCTACTCGCTGTGCTATCGCCCCAGCCCCATGTGACAATCTTTTTTTTTTTTTTGCTTTTTGGGTCACACCTGGCGATGCTCAGGGGTTCCTCCCGGCTCTGCACTCAGGAATCCCTCCTGGAGGTGCTCGGGGACCCTAGGGGATGATGCCGGGGATCGAACCCGGGTCGGCCACGTGCAAGGCCAACGCCCTCCCCGCTGCGCTATTGCTCCAGCCCCCTCATGTGACAACCTTAAGTTTCTTCTTTTAATCTTCTTTTTGGTTTCTGGGCGACCCCGGGCCATGCCCAAGGCGGCCCCGACCCTCTGCGGCTCAGAGGCCGCTGCTCAGGGCGAGGTGCGGGTCGAACCCGCGTCCCGCACGCGCAGAGCCCGGCCGCGCCCTGCGGGATACCCGCCAACCTCCGGAGCCCGGACTTTCGCGCGCGGGGCCTTCTGGGATGCTGGCGCCGAGTGCGCGCGCGCGCGCGTCTCCCGGGCAACCGGCTCCCCGGCCACGCCCCTTTCCCGGGGGCGCGCGCCACCTGCGCATGCGCCCGACCGCCCCCGGCCCTCGCCGCGCATGCGCCTGGCGCCGGCCACGCCCCTCGGCGCCATTTCGCCGCCGCCGCCTCCATGCGAGTGGCGCCGCGCCGGCCTCTCCCGTCCGCGCGTGAGGAAAGGCCGCGCCGTCGCCGCCAGCCGCGCTCCGGGGCCGCGAGCAGCCGAGGTGAGGCCGGGCGGGGGGCGGGCCGGGCCGGCGGGGGGCTCCGGGCGCGGCTCTGGGGGGCGGCGGGTGGGGGCGGGGCGCGGCGTCGGCGACCAGGCCTCTACCCCTCCCCCCACGGCTCGGGCCTCGCTCCCTGCGCGTCGCCCCGGCAACGCGCGACCCCAAATCAACCCCCCCCCGCCCCCCGGGGCCGGGCCGCGTCCGCGGGTGGCGGAGCGCTGAGGCGAGGGGCGCCGTGACGTCACGCGCCCCGTGGCGGCGCGCGCGCCCCGGCGGGGCGGTTGTCTGCGCATGCGCAAGGGCGCGCGCGCTCGTGCGCGTTCCCGCGCCCGGGGGACAATAGGCTGCGAGGGGGGTGGCGGGTTTTGGGGGGCGTGGCCCCTCCGTGGGACCCGGGGGCGCCCGGGCTGGGGCTCTGCTGGTGACGTCACAGCCGCCCACCCCCAGCCACGTGGCGGGCGGCGTTGGGGGCGCGTGGTTCGCCCTAACGGCCCCCGTCCCTAGGGGAGGGGGTGGCCCCGGGGCCACGTGCCCCTCCCCCCCGTATCTATCGTCGATTGCCCGATTGTCGGGGTGCAGCGGGTATTGTTGCCGATAACGATATCGATAATATCGATAACAACGATATCGATATCATATATAGGTGATCTGTAATTGGTAGATGTAGATAGGTCTAAGATAATGTGATGATCTGATAGATGATCAGCATAGGTAAAATGTAAAGGCGCTTGTTAATAACAAATGTCGAGCAATGGATACCTTAATTGTATCTGTAATGAATGAGCACCTCCGGTGGGGTTAGAGCCTGTTTGCCACTCCTGGCACTCTGGGGGTGCTAATGTGATCGATAATGTTATCAATAATAACAGTGCTTATAATTTATAATATATAGATCATCTGTAATAGATTTAGATAGATCCAAGGCATAGCTATAACAGCATAGATAGTGAGCATAGGTAATTAAGGCGCTCATTAATAATAGATATTAAGCAATGGATATCATAATCAGTTGTATCTATTATTAATGAGCACCTGTGGAGTTTGAGCCCGTTTGCGACTCTTTGGGGGCACCTTGGGGGGCCATGCAGTGCTAGTGTTATCGATAATGTTATCAATAATGATGCTTATCATCTATAACATGTAGGTAATCTATAATCCAGGTGACCCACGATATAGCTATAATAGTGTAGATAATAAGCATAGGTGATACAAGGCGCTTCTTAATAATAAATGTCGGTCAATAGATACCATGATCAATGATACCTGTTACTAGCGAGCGCCTCCTGTGGAGTTAGAGCCCGTTTGCGACTCTTGGCACTCTGGGAGTGCTAACGTTATCGATAACGTTATCAATAACAGCAGTGCTAATAATCTATAATAGGTAATCTATGATAGGTTAGATATAGCCAAGACATAGCTATAATCGTGTAGATAATAAGCATAGTTAATACAGGGCGCTCATTAATAAATATTGAGCAATAGATACCGTAATCAATTGTATCTGTTATTAATGAGCACCTCCGGTGGAGTTTGAGCCCGTTTGCCACTCCTGGCACCTTGGGGGGCCGTGCAGTGCTAGTGTTATCGATAATGTTATCAATAATAATGCTTATAATCTGTAACACACAGGTGATCTATAATCTAGGTGACCCAAGATATAGCTGTAATAGTGTAGATAATAAGCATAGGTAATACCAGGCGCTTATTAATAATGTTAAACAATAGATATCATAATTATATCTACTACTGATGAGCACCTCCTGTGGAGTTAGAGCTCGTTTGCAACTCCTGGCACTTTGGGGGTGCTAATGTTATTGATAACGTTATCAATAACAGCAGTGCTAATAATCTATAATCGATAATAACCTATGATAGATTAGATATATCCAAGACATAGCTATAATCGTGTAGATAATAAGCATAGGTAATACAGGGCACTTGTTAATAGTAAATGTTGAGCAGTAGATAACATAATCAATTATCTGTTATTAATGAGCACCGCTCAAACACCGGTGGAGTTTGAGCCCGCTTGCGACGCCTGGCACCTTGGGGGGGCCGTGCAGTGCTAGTGTTATCGATAATGTCATCAATAATAACAGTGCTTATAATCTATAATATATCGATAATCTATAATAGATTTAGATAGATCCAAGGTATGGCTATAATAGTGTGGATAATAAGCATAGGTAATACAGAGCGCTTATTAATAATAAATATTGAGCAATGGATATCATAATTATTAATGAGCACCTTCTGTGGAGTGTGAGCCCGTTTGTGACTCTTTGGGCGCACTTTGGGGGGGCCGTGCAGTGCTAGTGTTATCGATAATATAAATAATAATGCTTATAATCTATAATATATAGGTAATCTATGATCTAGGTAACCCAAGATACAGCTATAATAGTGAAGATAATAAGCATAGGTAATACAAGGCGCTTGTGAATAATAAATGTTAATAGATACCATAATTCTGTCTACAAATGAGCACCTTCTGTGGAGTTAGAGCCCGTTTGCGACTCTTTGGGGGCACTTTGGGGGGGCCGTGCAGTGCCCCCCAAGTGGAAGCCCCCCACACCTGTCCTGGTTTGAAGCCCGGCCTCCACCCTCTGAACTCGCCCTCTGCCCCCTAAAGGGGTGGGCATGAGGGGTGACACCCAAGGCTTGCCCCTCAGTGGGTGGGCCCTGCTGCCCCCGCCCAGGGAGAAGGGGGCGGGTTTGCTGGATGCCAGAGAGACCAGGAGGAAGGAATTGGTGCCGAGGGCTCGCCCTCTGGACCCCTAGGACTCTGCCTCTCCTTCCCCAACTGTTGCCGTGTCCCCAGGGGTGGCCCGTGACTGGGGGGAGCCTGTGACCAACCCAGGCCTGGGTGCTACGGGAGCATCAGGCAGCCACAATGGGGTCTCGAGGTGGTCCTGGGTCCCTCTCGGCAGCAGCTGTTTCAGTTGTATTTTCTCCAGACGCTTGGGCTTTGGGCACAGATTTGAGGCCCAGGCGGCATGTTTTGGGGGTGTCTGATGATGGCAGTGGAGGGCAAGTGCCCACAACACTGTCTTTGACCCTGAGCCTTCAGGGAACAGAGCCACGACGGTGCAGAAACGGCCAGAACAAGCATGAGCTGTGCTTGCTATTTTTCACTACTGCGACTTCCAATTTGAGTCGATTTTGTTTTATGTTTTGGTTACACCCGGCGATGCTCAGGGCTGACTCCCGGCTCTGGGCTCGGGAATCATTTCTGGTAGTGCTTGGGAGGGACCACCAGAATGAGGCTGGGGATCGAGCCCGGAGCCCGGGTCGGCCTCGTGCAAAGCAGGCGCCCTCCCTACCTGCTGTACTGTAGCTCCAACCCCTTAAATTTGAATTTAGATCTCCGTGCTGGGTAGTGGAAAAAACCTCTGAGCTTTTTCTCTTTTCCTTTCCCCCACCCCCGGTGCTGGGGTTGGACTCTCACATAAAAAGTACGTCCGTGTTTTACCTCAGAACTACCTCATACGTTTTTTGGTTCCTCCTTCAAACTCTCTTCCTCTGTAACAAAAAAAAAGAGCAAAAACATCTACCACATAATATCTGCCGTTATTGTGAGGATTCAGTGAGTTAGAACACATCAGGTTCCTGTTGACAAGTGGCGCATGACACGGCCCCTCCCTGGCCCCCTCCCGCCGTGCTCCCTGCTCACTCCTGGCAGGCGTGGTGGCACCACACAGGATGCCAGAAATTGAACCCTGGTTGGCCTTGTGCAGAGCAAGGGCTCTACCTGCTTTGGCCCTAGCCTTTCATTTTTGACTCAGTCACCCGTAGTCACCCTAAGATTGGGGAGATAATTCTTTACAAGATAACTTTTCCTGGGGCCGGAGTGATAGCACAGCGGGGAAGGTGCACGCGGCCAACCCGGGTTCGATCCCAGGCACCACCAGGAGTAATTCCTGAGTGCATACCTCTGTGCATCACTGGGTGTCCCAAAAAGCCCCCATCTCCCCCCCCCAAAAAAAAATAAGAAAACAACAACATACTTTTTCTGCATACTTTCTACGGTAGTTTGCATCATATATAGTTTGGACCCAGATTTTTCGTAAGAGCATGCCACAGACCTTCCAGTTATGGCATTAAAATGTCTTCATAGAAGTCTATTTAAGTACAGGGATGGTAGAATACCCTTAACCTTGATTTTCATTTTTTTCCAGTGTTTGTGCTTATAAATGATACTATTTATAACAGTTGGTTTGTTGTTTGTTTTTTTAAGGTCTGAAGAGATTGGAATCATGGGTGACATTAAGAATTTCCTGTATGCCTGGTGCGGCAAAAGGAAGATGACTCCTGCCTACGAGATCAGAGCCGTGGGGAACAAGAACAGGCAGAAGTTCATGTGCGAGGTACTGAAAAAATACAGCTTGCAGTTAGGTGTTTATGGACTGACTCTTGGTGGAGAAATTGAGTGGAGGGGGTGGTTGGAGTTTGGGCCACCCCGGGCGGTGCTTGGTGTCTTCTCCCAGCTCGCTGTTGGAGATGGAGCCCAGCCCCCCCCCCCCCCCCAACAGCACGTACAGGTGCCCCATCAGCAGAGTCCTTGTCCTGCCGCGGGGTCGGGTCTAGTGTTGGTGCATGCGTAGGGGCTACTCCCAGGTGGGCCCTGGGCGACTCCTGGCTGTGCTCCAGGGACTGCATGCGAAGGGAGCGCCTTAAACCCGGGCGTTTGTCTTTGGCCCTGGGATGTTCTTGATTGTGACCTGCCGGCTACTCTTGTTTCGGTTCTGGTTGTTTTCAAGTGAGCTTGACTTTTGATCCTGTGTGGTGGATCCGTTTTTCTGGTCAGAGCGTGTATATCACTCGGTTTCACATTACTGCTAGTCCAGGTTATGGCAGTTGGATCAGCCGTCAGCATTAGGGGCTTTTCTAGAAAGTGCTAGTTCTTGGAGACTTACAAAATCAAAGTGTGTGTGTGGGGGGGGGGTGTTACGCAGCTTCAGAATTAACCTCTGAGCTCTCTCCCCGGTCTGAAAATCAGATTTTGGTGAGGGAAGTTGTATTACATAAGAAGAGATGGAGTCCTGTAAGTTGGTGATCCTGGGCTCTTGCTGGAGAAAGCATTGAGTGCCCAGCCAGGGACTCACTTCCCTTCATGGACTCTGGAATTGGGAGTTGTTTTAGATCCCAGGATCATTGGGGTTAATCTCTAGGTCATTTTCCCTGGCTGCACCAGGTCCGCGTGGAAGGCTTCAATTACACGGGCATGGGCAATTCCACCAACAAGAAGGACGCCCAGAGCAATGCCGCGAGAGACTTCGTCAACTACCTGGTGCGGATCAACGAGGTGAAGAGTGAGGAGGTCCCGGCCGTCGGGGTGAGTACTTGTAGCCGAGCGCGTGGGGGGTGTTAGCGTGTCCGATAACCCATTGCCTATGGAGACCCAGGGGGTAGTCTCAGGTTGCGTTTCTGGGTGTGCCCAGGTCCTCCCGGGACTGTGAGGTGCCCAGAATCAGACAGTCTGTACAGGCAAGGCATTTCCCCGCCTGCCGTGTGTGCTGTCTCTCCGGCTCTCATTCTACCTTGATTCTGGAAAATATTTGCACCAAGAAAATAGCGAAGGAATGGATCGTTTCCTTTCCTCCATTCTTTGTTTTGGGTGTACTCTGATGTGGCCAGTTAAATAGTTTGGGGATTTTCTTTCTCTTCAGATCTATCGTGCTTGGGCTTTCTTTTGATTCTTGAATCCATAAATTTGCCTTTTACCACATTTGGACACTTGGCCGTTAAGTTTTTGTTATTTGATAGCACAGCCGGTAGGGCGTTTGCCTTGCACAGGGCCAACCCGGGTCCGATTCCTCCATCCCTCTCGGAGAGCCCGGCAAGCTGCCGAGAGTATCCTGCCCACATGGCAGAGCCTGGCAAGCTCCCCGTGGCGTATTTGAGATGCCAGACACAGACACAAGTGTCACAATGGAGATGTTACTGGTGCCCTCTCGAGCAAATCAAGGAACAACGGGAGGACAGTGCTATTTGGAGATACTGTCTTTCTAGAACTTTTGAGCCCCCCCTTAGGAAAAAAAAAGGCATATCATTTCACTTTGCTGTGTGTGTGTGTGCGTGTGTATGTGTGTGTGTTCCTGGCGGGGCTTGGACCGTGTGTGGCACTGGGGATCAGACCCCAGGCGGCCGCATGCTCGGCAGGCCACCACTTGGCACCCACTGGGCTGTCTCCTTGCCCGCAGGCCGTTCAAAGGCCAGCAGCGTCCAGTTTGCTTCTCATCCTTTCTTCGTCCTTGACAGATCCGTCCCTTGCCGCCTTGCTCTGATCGCTCTTCCTTTCTCTTTCCTGTGGTTTGCCACCCCAGCAGCAGAGACTGCTACCTACAGGTTCCTGCCACCCGCAGAGACTCGGGCCCCGTGGGTCCCCCGGGGGCTTTTCTGTCTGAAACGGACCCTTCCGCGAGCACTGACCAGAGCCCTGTCGGTCTCAGGAACGTGGGGCGGACCGGGCAGCCTCTCTCAGGACTCAGTGAGGACCCAGTCCGAGTGGGCTTGGCCTCTTCTCTTGCAGATCGCGCCCCCTCCGCCGACCCTCACCGACTCCACGGACGCCGCTGCCACCACCACGACTACCACGACCACCACAACTGGGAGCGCCCCCGCGCCCATGGGGGGCCCGCTGCCCCCGCACCTGGCACTGCAAGCAGGTGAGCTCCCCGGGCACCAGCACGCCGTCACCTGGCGGGGACGCGGGTCTCGGGCCAGCCCTCGGCCTTCGGAAACGGCCACCTCCACATCGTCCCTTTGTCGTGGAGGTGCTGCTGCGGTGGCTCCCTGGTCCTCTGTAGGTGGGCACGGGCCATGCCTTGGTGACGCTGCTAGGGGCTTGCCTCTGCCCCGGGGTGGCCACTAAGGGGGTGGAGTCTTGGGTCTCAGCAGCAGCGTTGGGAAGAGGAGGAGGAGGAGGAGGAACGGGTGCGGTGCTGAGGCCAGCGGGTTGCGTGTGGCCCTTGTCCCTGGGTTGCCACCTCGACTTCTCGCTGGACAGCTCCGTGACGAACGTTCGCGCCGGTGCTCAAGCCTCTTGCCTCGGCCCCATCGCCCTGAGATCTCTCGTTTCTTCTCCGTAGAGAACAACAACAACAACTCTGCCCCTGGGGCCACTGGGGCCACCGGGGCCACTGGGGCCTCCGGGGCCTCCGGGGCCTCCGGCTACGGGCCGCCCGGGTCCTGGGACAGGACGGGGAACTCCAACATGAAGGACTACTACTCGACCAAGGAGGAGCAGGAGGTCCAAGCGGTGAGCGCGCCCCGCCCCGCCCCGCCCCAGTGTGGCTTTCCGGCCCCGGTGGGTCTCTGAGGGGCAGGTGACTCCTCGGGCTGGACTTAGAGACACCCACTAATTCTGGCTCAGTTTCGACTAGGAACTGCGCGAAACCGCCTTTGCGGTTCGGACGGAGGCGGCGGCGCGGGCTCCGGCGCCTTCCCCGCGCAGGGGGGAGCTCGGGTCTCCGTCGCCACACTGAGTTACCGTTGATCCAACAGACCCTGGAATCCGAGGAGGTGGACTTGAATGCCGGACTGCACGGAAACTGGACCTTGGAAAACGCTAAGGCGCGCCTGAACCAGTATTTTCAGAAAGAAAAGATCCAGGGAGAATATAAGTACACCCAAGTGGGCCCCGACCACAACAGGTTGGCGTGCTTCGCTCTCCCCACGCGGGGTCTCGTCGGGGGGCTCTGGGGCCTCCTGGTTCCCGGGGTGTCTGCTGGCGGGTTCCGTTGGTGGCGTCGCCGTGACTGGCGAGACTTGGCTTGCGGTGTGCGGTTGGCCGCGGTTTCCCTCGCGGGCGGGCGTTGAGCTGCCGCCGGGTTGCTGGGCTGCCTGGTGCTCGCGGGAGTCCGAGGCCAAAGTCCTAGCCACAAGTGCTGGTTTGTCCGCGCTCGCCTCGCAAACCAGCAGCCGTGGCGGGTGTGTGTCCCCTGAGTGGTCAGAGGCGGTGTGGTGGCCTGCGGCGCGGCGCGGCCCGCCGGGTTGCAGCGGTGGTGATGGCCTGGCCCGGGGGCCGCGCGTCCGGAGGCCTGTTGTTCGGCTCGGAAGGTTTCTGTGTGCGGCTTGAGGCCGGTGTGGGGGTTGGAGCCACCGTTGCTTCAGTCCGTGTCTGACTGGCGGGCGGGGCGGGCGGGGCCAGTGACAGTATGTTTCTCAGCCTGCTTGCGTTCTTCCTGAGAGCGTTCCAGGGTGTAGTCGTTATTACTCCCAGGACGGCTCGGACGGAGTGGACTCTGCCGGGGGCCACGATTTCCACTGCAAGAGGGCGGGAAGGCCGAACCTTGGCAAATTGGGAGATGATTGGATTTGATGCCCCGCAACAAAGGGGAAAAAAATTATCCAAAATGCACGAAAACGATTCCGGAAATCAAAACAGTCCTCCTCGGGGTCTGCGTCAAGCAGCCCGAAAACCAATGACTGAAAACCACAGTTTGGCTTTGTGGTCAGAGGCTGCTCGGAGCACGTTGGCCCCTGCTTCCCGCGGTTCTGGTCCATCCTGAATTCTCGTTCTCGGTTCTGAGATCAGACTCTTAAAAGAAGTCCTCCAAAGAGACCGTTACCAATGTTCTCTAAGATGCTGCCCATCTGAACTGATTGGACACTCAGTGGCATTAAGAAATTAAGTATCGGGCTGGGCCGATAGCACAGCGGGTAGGGCATTTGCCTTGCACGCGGCTGACCCAGGGTCGATTCCCAGCATCCCATAGGGTACCTCCCAGCACCGCCAGGAGTAATTTCTGAGTGCGGAGCCAGGAGGAACCCCTGAGCATCGCTGGGTGTGACCCCAAAAAGAAAAAAGTAAACACCTTGGGGCCGGGGAGACTACAGCGGGGAGGACGCTTGCCTCGCAGGCGGTCGACCCAGGTTCCGTCCCCGGCGTCCCAGAGGGTCCCCCAAATACTGCCGGGAGTGATTCCTGAGCCCAGAGCCAGGAGTCAGCCCTGAGCATTGCCGGGTGTGACCCCCTCCAAAAAAAGAAAAAGAAAGAAAAGAAAAATTGAGTATCTTGAGGGCCGGAGAGATAGGACGGGCTAGGTCACTTGCCTGACATGTGGCCGACCTGTCCCATCCCCGGCACCGCGTTGGTCCCCCAAGCACAGCCAGGAGTAGCTCCTGAGCGCTGCTGGGTGTGACCCCGAAGCAACGAGAAGTGGTCGGTGTCCTGCCTGGCGCTCGCCCTTTCTCGGTTGTTGTCACGGACTTCTCGAAGAATTCAGGATGTGGCCCCGAGGCGGGGAAGCGGGACGCCCACTCCCTGGCTGTCCTTTGCTTAAAGCATAACGACAGCAACACCAGAGGTCTGTGTTGAGACACATGTGCTGCTGCTTAGGCCGAACTAAGCAATCACATGGGAGACGATTGTGAACTGATCTCTGGTGTCGCTGTTCCCCCAGGTGGAGGAGGCTGAGATTGGGTGCTGCCTGTAAGCCTGGCTGAGAAACATACTGGCATCGGTGGCATTAATGCAAGGGTGGATGTTGTTCCCCTGAAAGCCAGTGGCCTCTGACCCCGAAGCCGCTGTCCCTGCAGGTCAGTTCTCCAGAGTCCTAGGCAGGAGTCTAACACTGTCCTCCAGTCCCCCTAACCGTGGGTCCGCGGCGCAGAGGCGAGCGTGGCATGTGCCTGCGCAGTGGAAGGGGCAGGGAACGAGGCGGTTGGCCGCGGGCAGGCTCCCTCTGGTGACGCACTGAATCCCTCCCTGAGCATCTCTGCCAGCGGCTTCGGCCTTGGCGTTCCAAAGTGTGGAGTCCTCTGGGACCTCGTTTAACGCGGTGGTCATGAGTTAGCTTAAAAACCTGTTTCGGACGACGGGCTGCTTCCACCTGCAGGCAGATCCTAGAAGCCTACCTTAGTGGCCCCGGCCCATGCTTGTATGTCCCCGTGTGTGCGTGCGTGTGTGTGTTGTGTGTCCACGCGCTCTGTTTACTCGGCTACTCTTAACATCCATGCGTGTGTGGCCCGTGCAGAGGGATCCTCAGGGAAGTGCAAGTGTAAAAAGTGCTGGGTCCGTTCTATTTTTCTGCCCCGAGCCAAGTGGGAGATGTTCTAGCTATTCGGATTGCCTTCGGCCTTTGGAGTAAGTAAGTAAATGCAGCCTAGAGCCCTGACACACTCTCTTCGAGACGGTTGGCGCGTGACTTTCGATGGTCGCTGTCTCCTGCCATGTTCTGTATTACTTGAGGTAGACATCACTTGGTCTTGGGTTGAACCAAAATGTTCATCGTGTTTTTTCGCTTAGATTTGCCTAAATAGTTGGAAAGCCTGCCTGATTTGAGATTCCTGATTTTCATGATTCCACGGTCATTTCGTTCATTCCTAATCTTGTTGCGTATGTTGTTACAGGAGCTTTATTGCAGAAATGACCATTTATATCAAGCAGATGGGCAGAAGTAAGTATCGCGGCTTCCCGGTAGAGTCTTATTCGGGGGGGGGGGGGGGGGGGTTGGAGCCCTGTGCTCGTGCTTTGTTCGTTGGGGGTCTCAGGAGGTAGCGCATAGGGGGTCTCAGAGTAGTAACGATCATGTGAGTCAGAAGGGCCCCAGCACCATGTTTCCTTCAGAGGAAACTATCTCAGGCCAATTTGGCATTCACCAAATTTGTATCTCTTGTTTCTAGATAGAGCCAGATGGCCTTTCAGCCATCCCAGTTTCTCGTTCCCCTGCATCGAATATGGGTCGTCTGAGCACGGCAGGGTTTATGCCCGACTGCCCCTCCCCCCAGCAGCCACACCCCCCCCACCCCCAAGTAAAAAGTTTGCCAAGGGAAAAATCGACCATGAGATAAAGTTAGATGAGGTCCCCAGAGGCTGTGTGGCACTCGTCCCCTGGGAAACAGACTAGATTAGGGCACCAGAAAGACAGAAATTATGCGGGCTTTGCTTGGGGGGGTTGTTGGGGTTTGTTTTCAGGTCTTTTGTTTGTGGAATTGGGTCAAGACTGTAGGCAAAGGGGAAGGAATGCAGGAGGCCTCCGGTTACATAAAGGGCTTTCTAAAGTAGCATTCCTGTTAAAATGTTCAGTAGGATCTAGAGCCCGCAGTACAGCAGGGAGGGCGCTTACCTCGCACGTGAGCGACCCAATGGATCTCATGTGTCTCACGGTCCCATGAGCACTGCTGGGTGTGGCCTAAAACAGGGACCAAAAATACACTCGTGGTCGGTGCCAGAGAGGTAGCACCGCAGGGAGGGTGCTTGCCTTGTGCGCGAGCTTGGCTTGGGTCTCTGACCCCCCGTATGGTCCCTCTGTGCCCCAGTAGGAGTGATCCCAAGTGTACCTGTTGTTCACAAGGTGTGTGACTTTGGGTCACTCACATCTCTGGGACTCAGATTTATTTACCTGCAAATGGAGAGAGATCTCCTGTCTGGCGTAATGATCTAAATTTAGTCTCTGACCTGATGGGATCAAACATTTCCATAAATCATCAGATGATCCTGAATTTTTTTTTTCAACGTAAGATAAATAAGACTTTGAAACTAAGTTGGTTTCGTAGATTGGATGTTAAAGGACAAGGATTAGACTAATATCTGTTGACGGGGGCGCAGTTCATTTTGGTAAGATGGCCTCCGAGGCAGGAAGCTGCCTGTATACCTTCCTTGTGTTACGTCATTTGTCCTAAAGCTGGGTTATTTGGGAGAGAACATTTTCTTCGAGGATATGCGTACCCGCTCACTGCAGTCTCAGTTGCCAGGGTCGCCAGCTTACAGCCCTCGGGCCAGGCACCTGCTCCCTGCTTTGGAAATAGTCTTTTATTAGATCACAGCTGTCACGGTCCTCCCGTTGTTCATCGATTTGCTCGAGCGGGCCCAGTAACGTCTCCATCGTGAGACTTGTTGTTACTGTGTTTGGCGTATTGAATACGCCACGGAGAGCTTGCCAGGCTTTGCCGTGCGGGTGGGATGCTCTCGGTAGCTTGCCGGGGTCTCCGAGAGGGGCGGAGGAATCGAACTCGGCTACACGCTTTAATTTATGACAAGCAGCAGACTTCTCTGATAGGACAGAGGTTTATCGCCTTAATTTTTTTCACGGTTCCTTACAAAGTGAAAACCCAGCTAAGACATCTAAGTGAGCCGCGCCACCAGCACCACCACCCCCCCCCCCAAAAAAAATGCCACCGACAGTTTAACTCTGGTCCTCTCTCCGGGTGCTTTTCTGTTTGAAAGGCAGAGTTCAGTGTGGGGGAAAGAGGCTGTAAAACAGGGCTGACGTCCTGGCCTGAACGACCACCGGCATCTCCCTTCCTCGGGTGGTCTAGCCGGCCATACCTTTTGAACAGTTTGGCCCTCCTAGTACCAGGTTGCGGTAGTGACTGTTTTGTTGAGACCGGCTCTTTGCTCTTTATAATGAGGAGGTGATTAACATACAGTTAGAGACCAGAGCAGTATACAGCGGGTGAGGTGTTTGCCTGGCACGTGGCCCACCCACCCGGGTTCGATCATCCCATATGGTGCCCCGAGCACCTCCCAGAGAGATACCTGCGTGCAGAGCCAGGAGGAACCCTTAAGCATCACCAGGTGTGACCCAAAAACTAAACCACGTACTTGGGAACCTCTTAGGGAGTGGGGGTTAGCACTTAGAATGAGAGAACTCCAAGCCCCTGGCACACGCTGGTCTTGGACAGCGTTGGTAGCTCCCACCCCCTGTCGCTTCTAAGCCGTTTCTTGCCTCTTTCTCTGGCCATCTCCCTAGGGATTTTTGCACGTGAACACGGGTCAAATAAGAAGCTGGCCGCCCAGTCCTGTGCCCTGTCCCTCGTCAGGCAGCTCTACCATCTCGGAGTGATCGAAGCTTATTCCGGGCTCACCAAGAAGAAGGAAGGCGAGACCGTGAGTCTTTAGGCCTGGAAACCTAGAGAGCCCCTGTAGGGCTTGACACGGCTTTTGCACGGCGGGCTAGAGAAGTCTCGGTTCGGATGTCTGGGCATCTTTTTGTTCAGTGGTTATTATTGAAATGTTCTTAGGAAAGTGTGAGGGGAGAGAATGAGAGAAGTGTGTGTGTTTTTTTTGAAGTAAATAGAATTTGGGGCTGGGCAATAGCACAGCAGGAAGGGCGCTTGCCTTGCATGCAGCCAGCCCGGGTTCGATTCCCAGCATCCCGTAGGGTCCCCTGTGCATCACCGGGTATGACCCAAAAAAAGCAAGAAAAAAATAAGAAAAAGGAAGTAAATAGATTTCATTTGGAGGGTTTTTGAAGGTGTGTGTGTGGGAGAGAGAGAGGTTACTGCACTCGAGAGAGAACGCGTGCTTCTCCGAGGGCGGAGAGACCCCTGCACACATCCTAGCACTAGAAGGAAAGCGTGAAAGTCCCCATCTCAAGAGGGGAGACGTGGGCGACACCGTGCTCGGGCAGCACATGCGCCAGAAGTGCGTGTTTGAAGAGAAACCCGGGCTTCTCGGGGTGGGAGTGGGCAGGCAGAGAAGCAGGACAGATTCGAGAAGCAGCCTCGGGGGTGGGCGGCTCCCACCCAAGCGCCCCCACTCTGCGCGGGCGGGCGGCCTCGCCCCACGTGGGTCCGTGGCCTGGTTTTCTCGCAGGTGGAGCCCTACAAGGTGAACATCTCCCAGGACCTGGAGCACCAGCTGCAGAACGTCATCCAGGAGCTGGAGCTGGAGATCATGCCCCCGGTAAGCTCCGGCGCCGCCCCGGCCCTGGGGGGCGTCCCTGGCCGGCCGGGACCTGCCCTGACCTCCGTCCCCTCGTGCCCGGCAGCCCGAGGACCCCACGGTGCCCGTCGCGCTCAACCTCGGCAAACTGGCTCACTTCGAGCCCGCGCAGCGCCAGAACCAGGTGGGCGTGGTCCCGTGGTCCCCGCCGCAGTCCAACTGGAACCCCTGGACCAGCAGCAACATCGACGAGGGGCCCCTCGCCTACGTGAGTGCCGCCGCGCTCGGACGGGCTGGGGTCCGCTGGCGGGGAGCTCCAGGGCTTGACTGTGTCCTCCCGTCCCAGGCCACCCCGGAGCAGATCAGCATGGACCTCAAGAACGAGCTCATGTACCAGTTGGAGCAGGATCGCGACTTGCAGGCGGTAAGTGGGGGGTGTTGGGCGATGGTGCTGGCGCAGAGGGCCGGGACCCAGCAGTGGGACGTGTCTGCACGAGCCGGGGTGAGGGCCGGCTGCCGGGCTTGGAAGTGGAGGGGATTGGGGTAGCACTGTGTAATAGTGCGATCTGTGATGGAAAGGGGGGAAATGAACACATGTGAGGGAGAGAAGACCCTGTGGGATGATGGGGAAAGAGAATTAGGGGGTGAGCAGCGCCACTGAGATGGGTTGCTTTTGCACACATCCCGTAAGGTTGATATTTGAGAAGCAGAGGTTTTTGGGAGCCCACGTTTCAAGTACCGCACCTGGTGGAAAGGAGGCAGCTTCTGGAGAGGGCAGGTCGGGCGGGTTTGTTGGTAGAAGCCTAAGGGCTCCGAATTTCTCCGTCACAGGTTCTGCAGGAGAGAGAGTTGCTGCCCGTGAAGAAGTTTGAAAACGAGATCCTGGAAGCCATTAGTCAGAATTCGGTTGTCATTATCCGGGGTGCCACTGGCTGCGGGAAGACCACCCAGGTGCCCCAGTTCATTCTCGACGAGTTTATCCAGAGCGACCGAGCCGCCGAGTGCAACATCGTTGTGACTCAGGTAGGTGGCACTTAGGGGAGAAATTTTTTTTATTGGAAGAGAGAGAGTGTGTGTCCATGGGGAAATTCCAGTCGGGACTGGCAGGGACGCATTTTCTTTTCAGTGCCTCAGAACTAAGCGTCTGTCTCCTTTCAACTTACGGGTTTTGGGAATTTCCTAAAGATTTATTACTGTGTCCATTGGTCCGTGAGCAGGTTGTCATTTAATTACCCCTACTAAGTAGAGGCAGCTTTGCTCTGTGGCTTCTCGGTCGCATCTCTGTGTCCTTCCTGTGTCAGCCCCGGAGAATCAGCGCCGTGTCCGTGGCAGAGCGCGTGGCCTACGAGCGAGGAGAGGAGCCCGGGAAGAGCTGCGGCTACAGCGTCCGTTTCGAGTCCGTGCTTCCGCGGCCGCACGCCAGCATCATGTTCTGCACCGTGGGTCAGTGTCGTCCCCGGGGCTTGTGTCTCTGGGAGCCGGTCTTAGGGGTGGTGAAGGCCCAGGCCCCTGTGGGTGTGGCGTGGGGGGACGGAAACCCCGAGGTGTCTAGAGTTGGATCTTCAAGTCCTCTAGGACGTCCTCCCGCTTTGGAGTTGAAACGGGCGTGTGATTTCCCCGAAGGCTGCTGAGCCCGGGGTCTGGGAGCGGGTCTTCTCTCTTGCGCGTGGCTCTGACCCGATTCGCGGGAGACCAGCCCTGCTTTCCCCGCAGGTGTGCTCCTGAGGAAGCTGGAGGCGGGCATTCGCGGGATCAGCCACGTCATCGTGGACGAGATCCACGAGAGAGACATTAACGTGAGTCCTGGGACACGTGCCGCGTGTCCGAGAGTCAGGGCAGGGCACCGCTGCTCTCTGGCCGTTCCCCAGGTCCCCGCGACTGCACCCTGCGGGTGACCCTTCCCCCGAGCATCCCCAGGAACTGAGGTCCTCCCGTGCAGTGCGCCCCCGGGGACTTGGCCAAGCCTGACACGGTTTCTGTTTGCTTTGTGGACAGACCGATTTCCTCCTGGTCGTGCTGCGGGATGTGGTCCAGGCCTACCCCGAGGTCCGCATCGTGCTCATGTCGGCCACCATCGACACCACCATGTTCTGTGAATATTTCTTCAATTGCCCCATCATCGAGGTGTACGGGAGGACCTTCCCCGTCCAGGGTGAGCGCTGTGGGGGAGGGGGTGCGTCTCCCGTGCAGGGGTCTGGGGTCCCTTCATCCGGGAGTTGGGAGCGGCGCTCGGGACATGTCACGGCTCCCGGGGGTGGCTGTGCAGTCGTGGTCTGTTTACGTGATTTTCGCCTGGGGCCCTCCAGCGGTGCCACACAGCCCCTGGTTGAGAATAACTTGGCTGCCAGGTGACCCGTGGCATGGTCGAACGAAAGCCATGGGAACTGCTGTGTAGCTATGAAATGACGGGTGACTGTCACTGTTTTGTTGGGCGGAGGCTGGTGCACGCCCGGCTTTGATCAGGGCTCACTCCTGGCGGAGCTTGGGGGACCCTATGGGATGCCGGGTTCGAGCCTGGTTGGCTGCATGTGTGGCAGGCGCCCTCTCCGCTGTATTAGCGCTCCAGACCCTGGCGAACAATCCAGACTGATGGTTCGTATTCCAGAAGAAGGGCAGCTCTAAAGTCAAAATGCTGCTCTGGCTCATGGGCCGTGAAACTCTTGGGTGGGTGGGAAATAGCGCAAGTTGACGAAGCTCCTGGGACCCAGTTTAGTGTCGGGTTGAGACTGGGACTGGGGTTCAAGGCCTGACTGGACACGGTCTGGTCTGGGTCCTGCCACACGCAGACGGACTGCGGCCTCTCAGAGCGCCCGGGAGCGGGGAGGGATTTTTCAGAGAGAAGTGATGGGGCAGGAGCACGAGGCCGCCAGAAAGAGCTGTCCGGGGGCAGAGCCGTAAAACCCTACATGCGCGAGAGTCCAGAGATAGGTGACGAAAGTGACGAAAGGTTCATCCGTGCCGAAGATGGCCCCGATTCTCGTCTGCCTGAACGGAGTGGGGACTTGGTGTCTTTGTGTTGAGTGACCATGACTGAGCACAGATGACCTCGCCGAATGACTGACTTGCTTGCTAAGGTTCGGGTGTGGGTGACAGGCGACCTTCGGTTCCCGGAGAGCGCTGGCAATCCCTAGTGTCACTGGGTCCTGGTGCTAGGACACGGCTGCTGTCTCCTTGCGTCCAGGGCTGAATGGAACCTTGGGGACCTGTGTAGGGACAGAGTCAGGAGGAGACAGGCTGGGCCCTTGCAAGCACCTCCGGGTTACAGCTCTGGGGTGGTCTCCCTAGCACTAGTATAGTATAGTGAGCCTGTCGGGGTGGCCCGCGCGCTGCTCCGCAGACACCTCCTGACCCTGGGGTGGGCATCAGAGCTTGCATCCAGGGGGCCTGCCGCCAAATAGGGCACCCCGGTGGGCTTGGGGGTGAGTCACTCGGCATCCTGGACTCGACGGGAGCACGGCAACTCCCGTCGCTGGAGCTTCCCTGTGAGCGAAGCGTGTGTGGGAAGCCGAGCGTGGAAGGGGGACGGGGGCGCCCATTCACCTGCCCCGCGCATCCCCGCAGAGTACTTCCTGGAAGACTGCATTCAGATGACCCACTTCATTCCGCCACCGAAGGACAAGAAGAAGAAAGAGAAGGATGACGACGGTGGCGAGGATGATGATGTAAGTGCGTTCCTTAGTCTCGTGATTGTGGGCAGATCGTTAGAGAAGAGGGCGGTTGGTAGTGAAAGGGCGCTGTGAGCTCGCATGGCGCAAGTTTTGGTGTGTTCCATCCCAAAGAAGTCCAGGACAAGTTAGGAGGATTTTTCGAACCATGAGCCGAATCATCTCTTGGCTAGAGAACTCTGTTGGATGAGGCTTTGCCACTTCCCGTGGTCTTCGTGTGCTCGGCACAGCACTTGGGCGTCTCGTTCACCCCTTTCTGAGGTCTCCCCGTCTGGCCCCATGATGCTAGTCGTTCTTGTTTGGGGGCCGCGTGCAGCAATGCCCAGGGGTCACTCCTGGCTCTGCACACAGGGATCGCTCCCGGTGGGTCTCAGGGACCTATATAGGATGCTGGGGATTGAACCTGGGTCTGCCGCGTGCAAGGCACTATGCCATCACTCGGGCCCTAAGCTTAGTCATCTTCATGGGAAATGCTGGTCAGTGAGGAAAACATAGGTAGGAGGTCCTGCCTCCCCCCTTACACGGGAAGCCACACCCGGCGGTGCTCAGAAGTTGCTCTCGTCTGCACTCAAGGATCGCTCATGGCAGGTTTGGGGGACCATATGGGATGCCAGGGATTGAACCCAGGTCTGCCGCTTACAAACCAGCACCCTCCCCACAGTACTATCACTCCGGTCCAGGAGTCCTGCTTTTGGGGTAGGGGGGATTAAATTTCTGTATGAGATGATGAATTGGCTAGGGTTGGGAAGGACTTTTGGCATCCATTAATTGAACAGACGAACAGAACATAAGGAGTTTAGTGCTGTAGTGACTGAGACCATCCAAGATAAGGTGCTGCTGCCTTTTTGCAGGCCAACTGCAATCTGATCTGTGGTGACGAGTACGGCCCGGAAACCAAGATCAGCATGTCGCAGCTGAACGAGAAGGAGACTCCTTTCGAACTCATCGAGGCGCTTCTGAAGTACATCGAAACCCTTAACGTTCCCGGTGCTGTGTTGGTCTTTCTGCCCGGCTGGAATTTGATTTATACGATGCAGAAGCATTTGGAAATGAACCCCCATTTTGGTATGAGTCTCAGAGTTCCCGTTTGTGTCTCTGGGAACAGACGTGAACTTGGGCTTGGGCGCTAGCCAGCGGGGGACAGCCAAATTCGATGTTGGGTCAGTTTTTTGAAATTGAGTATGCACACGGCTGGGCTCGGGAGACATCAGTGGGTCGGGGCACCTGCTTCGCGTGAGGTCCCCGCGTTCCCTCCCCAGCACTCTGGGGACCCCCACCCCCCAGCCCTGCAGGGGCAGACCTTGGGCAAGAAGGAGCCTAGACGCGGGGCTGGTGGGTGTGGCCGGGAGCCAAGCAGACAGCGTGCCCGCCTGACCCTGGTCTCCTGTCGCAGGGAGTCACCGGTACCAGATCCTGCCACTGCACTCACAGATCCCACGCGAGGAGCAGCGCAAAGTCTTCGACCCGGTGCCAGACGGGGTGACCAAGGTAAGGAGTCCCTGCTGTCCCGGGCAGGTGTCACGGACCTCAGGGAGCTTCCCCCAAAATGGGATTGCAGACGTCGGGACGGGGTTCTTTTGTCTAAGCTTTATAGGTTTTCCAGAATCCCAATTGGGGGGGGGGGGGGAGGCAGGCGCAAGATTCTGTGATGCTTTTTTCTTTTTCTAATCCTTTTATGGACATACAAGAAAGCACTTTCTGCAGTGTAAATTTTTTTCCCACTTTTGTCTCTTAACAGGTGATTTTGTCCACGAACATTGCCGAGACCAGCATCACCATAAATGACGTCGTCTATGTCATTGACTCCTGCAAGTAAGTTCCCAGAGAAGCTCTCGGCCCTAGAACGAAAATTCAGAACGTTTTTGTCTTCCACCTCTCGTGCTAGATTCACTGCCAGCGACTCTGTTCCCTGTCTGCTAGGAATCCATCATATTGCTCACCAGAATCAGATCATACCAGGGGGCGAGGAGATTGGGGGGGTGCTTGGCCGGCCTGCAGCCAACTTGGATTGGGGTCCTGGGGTCCCATAGGGTTCCCCGAACACTGCCAAGCAGAATTCCTGCGTGCGGAGCCAGGAGTCAGCCCTGAGCATCATTGGTGGGGCCCAGCATACACACCCCTTAAGAAGTCGGGTAATCCCAGGGGTCATAGAGAGTGGAGAGGATTGAACGGACAGGTCTAGTCCCTGGCCCCGTACGTGGTGCCTGAGCAGCACCAGGGGGTCCCTGAGCACAGCACTGGGTGCAGGCTGGGTGGTCGGTATGGCCATGTCAGCGATTTGGGTTCGGTGATTTTTTTTCTTCCCTAAACCGGCTAGTCCATGTTGAAAGGGCCCAAGTTTACCACTGTACCTGTGCTCCCCGCTTTTTTCCGTGGGGTTAGCGCTTTCCTGGTGGGGGTCCCACCAGTCACTGTGCTGGGGAGTGGAAGAGGGCGCAGAGCACACGCCACTGTCCACAGGACACTCAGGAAGACCTTGTGGTTGATGGGCCGGGCCCCCCTGGGGTGGGTGTCAAGAGGGGACTCGGGTTGCCACCCAGCTCTGTTGGAAGAGCAGCACTCGTCCCCGTGGCACGGCACGGGCCCTGCCTGCAGAACATTCCCCAAGCTGCCGGGCAGGGTTGGCCCGTCTGCTTGTGTGCCCCGGCTCTGCCCGTTCATTCGCCAGACTTGGTCTCGGACCCCGGGGGCTCTGGGGGGCTGGTTTCCAGATGAGCAAAGGGGGTTGCGGGCAGGTGGGCCGGGCGGGGGCCGCTGTGTCCCCTCACGCGGGTCTGGGTCCCCTCACGAGCCGCGCTGGGCCCCGCAGGCAGAAGGTGAAGCTGTTCACGGCGCACAACAACATGACCAACTACGCCACGGTCTGGGCGTCCAAGACCAACCTGGAGCAGCGCAAGGGCCGCGCCGGCCGCGTGCGCCCCGGCTTCTGCTTCCACCTCTGCAGCCGCGCCCGCTTCGAGAGGTGAGGCTCCCCTCCAGTGCTCCGCCCCGGCCCCGCTGAGCTCCTTGGGAAAACGGGCGGCCGTCCCCTGGTCTGGACAGGACATCCGCGCGCCTGGGTTTAGGGCATGCTTATTTTCCGGGCACCTTCCCTCGGGGACTCTCCTCATGCAACTTTGAAGGGTGCCAGACCGTAGCCCGGCCCCTAGATTTCTCTTCCAAGTGCTCCGGGGCTCTGGGTGCGTGGAACGCTTGCAGACCGTCTGCTTGATGACGTTTCTGGAGATACTTTAGCTTTAACGGTGGACAGTTAAGTTGCGTGTGTGAGACAGGCAGGGTAACGGAGATGTGCTTGCGGGAAAGCGGCAGGCTGCCGAGTCTTAAGGGGTTCATCTGAACCCCGGAAGTTAGGAGCTGGGGCCTCGGGACAGCCCCGAGTAAAACTGGTGAGCCGGGCTGGGTGGCCTGACCTTGCGGGTTCTGTTTCCACTGTCCGTGGGGGGTAATGGGATACACCCAGCGTCTCTGTCCGACGGAAGGTGAGCAGGTTGTCCCAGTGGCCTTGGTATCCCTGAAACTGGATCCCAGGTGCTCCGTTGTGAGAGAGTCCCGGGTGCTGTTCACAAGGGGGCACCTCGGCTAGAGGCCCGGAGGCCTCTTGGGCCCTGCAGTGTGTGCAGGGGCCGGGCGTCTCCGCTCCTCCCGCCGGGAAGTGAAGCACGGCCCGTCTTCCCTGCTCATAAAGGACGGAGGGGCCGTCCAAAAACCGCAGGCGCTAGTAGTGTGAAGCACACACAACAGGACCACAGCATGGGTGCTGAATAGCCTTAGCGGTGTCCCGACAATTCAAGTGACATCAGAAGGGTTAGGGGATTGGATTGGATTGGATTGGATTGGATTGGATTGGATTGGATTGGATTAGGGTCAGAGCCGCCGGGAGCACAGAAATGAGGGTGGGGTGGGGGGACCCACTTGGGGGGACCATTCTTGGCTTTGTTGCCCGCAGCAGCCCCGGCTTGTCAGGACGAGCTGAGGAGCCGGGGTATGGGGAGGGGTGCGGCTCCGGTCCTGGGGGGCTGCTGCTGGACCCCACGACCCTCGGCGCCGCGCCGGAGAGGTGCTCAGTTCGCGCTTGTCCTCCCCCAGGCTCGAGACGCACATGACCCCCGAGATGTTCCGGACCCCGCTGCACGAGATCGCCCTGAGCATCAAGCTGCTCCGTCTGGGCGGGATCGGCCAGTTCCTGGCCAAGGCCATCGAGCCCCCGCCGCTGGACGCTGTGATCGAGGCTGAGCACACGCTCCGAGGTGCCTGCGCCTGGGGGTGGCGAGTCTCTTGGGGGCAGGAGGAGGAAGGGCAGAGACCGGCGTCCCGTCAACGTTCGTCTGACCGGCCTCGCGCCGTGACCCGGGCCCTCCCGGCCTGCTGCAGGCCTGTCCCGAACCGGCTCGTTTCCCGCGAGACGGCGGAATTCTGGCCGAGGCAGGGACCGGGGAACGGGCCGAGACTGGACTTTCTCGCTGCCAACGGGAATCCTGCCCTCTCTGGCCCGGGACACTCAGCGCTCCCGGTCGTTTCTTCTCTCTCGGCGTCTTTGCTGTGGTTCGAGACTCGCTGTGACGGGGAGTACTGGTGTTGTTTCTCTCGGCGTGTTACGTGTCATGTCACAGCCGCCCGGCCTCCCGGGCCTGGTCTCCGCCCACCTCGGTGTGAGGGGGTCCCCAGCGCGCCTTGGCTGAGGGTGACGAGAAATAGTTCAGTCGGCCTCTGAGGGCCGAGCACACTGCCTGCGGGTCCCTCACACGGACTCTCCCCGCAGAGCTGGACGCCCTGGACGCCAACGACGAGTTGACTCCTCTGGGGCGAATCCTGGCGAAGCTCCCCATCGAGCCCCGTCTCGGCAAGATGATGATCATGGGCTGCATCTTCTAGTGAGTGGCGGGTTCGGTCACTGAAAGGCGAGGGGCAGAAGGTTCTGGAAGCTTAGCTCCCTCCCCCGACAACCAGAAGCCCTCCCGGAGAAGGGAAAAGTAGAATCTTATGTAAAGAAGTGGCCTTAGGTGCAGGGGAGCGGGGAGAGAAGGGCGTTGAGGCTCTGGGTGTGGGGCCCGTGGGGGGAGGGGGGCGAGCCCGGAGTCGCAGGCCTGCGAGGGTGAATGGTTGTCGAGCGGAGACCCTGAGACGCGCCTTTCTTGAGGGCGTGTTGGCAGCCCGTTGGGTCGGGGGAAGGCGCCCATGCTGAGGCTGCCTCCCGCAAGTCGGGGGCCCCCTCGCCTCCCCGCTGCTCAGAGGGCAGGCGGCAGGCCCGTGTGACCGCTGCCCGCCCGTCTTCGCAGCGTGGGCGACGCCGTGTGCACCATCTCGGCCGCCACCTGCTTCCCCGAGCCGTTCATCAGCGAGGGCAAGCGGCTCGGCTACATCCACCGCAACTTCGCGGGGAACCGCTTCTCCGACCACGTGGCGCTGCTGTCCGTCTTCCAGGCGTGGGACGACGCCAGGTACGGGCTGGGGGGGGGCGAGGGGGGCGAGGGGGAACGGCTGCGTCAGGACGTGGCCGGTGACCGGAGCTGCCGACTCTTCCAGGATGGGGGGCGAAGAGGCCGAGATCCGGTTCTGTGAGCACAAGAGGCTCAACATGGCCACGCTGAGAATGACCTGGGAGGCCAAGGTCCAGCTCAAGGAGATCCTGATCAACTCGGGCTTCCCCGAAGGTACCGCGCGCCCTGTGCTGCTCCCGGGCCCTCGGGACGGGCACCCCGTGTTTTCCCTACAGTTGAGGGGACTGGGACCCCGCTAACCACGCAGGTGGCTTCCCGGCTCTGCCATGGGGGTCCGGTCGCTTCCGAACAGGAGTCGGGGGTGGCCTGAAAGGCAGAGGAGGAAGGCCGTCCCCCGCCTGACGGGCCCTGTTCCCCGTTGCAGACTGCCTGCTGACCCAGGTCTTCACCAACACGGGGCCGGACAACAACCTGGACGTGGTCATCTCCCTGCTGGCCTTCGGCGTGTACCCCAACGTGTGCTACCACAAGGAGAAGCGCAAGATCCTCACCACCGAGGGCCGCAACGCCCTCATCCACAAGTCCTCGGTCAACTGCCCCTTCAGCAGCCAGGACATGAAGTACCCGTCGCCCTTCTTCGTGTTCGGGGAGAAGGTGAGCGGGCCGCCCGGCGTGTGTCCGGGTCACTGCCCGCGCCCCGCAGCGCCCGCCCGTGGTGACTGTGCCCCTCTCTGCAGATCCGCACCCGGGCCATCTCCGCCAAGGGCATGACCCTCGTCACCCCGCTGCAGCTGCTGCTCTTCGCCTCCAAGAAGGTCTTCTCGGACGGGCAGATCGTGCTGGTGGACGACTGGTAAGCGCCGCGGGGCTGCGGGCAGGAGCGGGCAGGCCTCTCGCCAGGGGCTGGGCGCCCAGTGCCAGGTCCAGTCCGGGGAGCCCTTGGCGAGCCACGGGACGGGACCCGCTGCTGCTCTGCCGTCGTCTGTGGCGCCTCGGGAGCCGGCCACGGTAGCCGGCCGTTCGGGCCGCCCTGGAAGGACCCCCGGCTGGTCAGCCGTCCTCGCGTGAGACAGCTCTGGCGCACCAGTGTCTCGGGCCGGTGTCTCGAGCCTCCGGGAGTGGACGTCACGAGCGGCTCGCTCCCGCTGCCGGCAGAGAGCGGGGTGTCGCCCCCGGGAGTCAGGGTTGGCGCGTGCGACCTCTGACCCTGTCTGTGCGCGCCCCCAGGATCCGCCTGCAGATCTCGCACGAGGCCGCGGCCTGCATCACGGCGCTGCGGGCGGCCATGGAGGCGCTGGTGGTGGAGGTCACCAAGCGGCCCGACATCATCAGCCAGCTGGACCCCGTCAACGAACGTATGCTCAACATGATCCGCCAGATCTCGCGGCCCTCGGCGGCCGGCATCAGCCTCATGATGGGCGCCGCCCGGTAAGACCCCCGCACACACGTGAGGGGCGGGAGGACCTTTGGGGACGGCGGCAGAGAGGAGCGGTTCCTCCTCTTTCTGCAGATGCTTTTTCTTTTCGGGTCCCACCCGGCGATGCTCAGGGCTGACTCCCGCCTCTGCACTCAGGATCACTCCTGGCGGTGCTTGGGGGACCCTAGGGGATGCTGGGGATCGAATCTGGGTCGGGTGCGTGCCAGGCGAACACCCTTCCCGCTGTGGTATCGCTCCAGCCCTTGCAGATGCTTTTCACTGGCCCCTTGAACCCGCCCGAGTTGGCAAAGGCCAGAAAGGCAAAGCGTTTCTCCGGCCCTTGCTTTACTCTCGCGGCCGCAGCCGGGGTGGGGGTGGGGGGCAGGAGCAGGGTTGCCCGGGCCTGGGTCAGAAAGACGGGGGCTCGGGGCGCCCGCGGGCGGGACTCAAGCTCACGGCCTCCTTCCCAGGTACGGAGACGGGCCCCGGCCCCCCAAGATGGCCCGCTACGACAACGGCGGCGGCTACGGCAGTTACGGCAGCGGCTACCGCCGGGGCGGCTCCAGCTACGGTGGTGGCGGCTATGGCAGCGGCGGCTATGGCCACGGCGGCGGCGGCTACGGCAGCGGTGGCTACGGCCACGGCGGTGGTGGCGGCGGCTACGGCATGGGCAGAGGCTACGGCGGAGGGGGCGGCGGCGGAGGAGGCTTTGGGGGGTGGCGGCTACGGAGGTGGCCACGGGGGTGGCCCCAACAACTACATGGGAGGCTACGGGCCCGGGGGCGGCGGACCCGGGGGTGGCGGGGGCTTCCGCGGCCCCATGCGCGGGGGCTTCCGGGGCGGCTCGGGGGGAGACTTCCGAGGCGGGTCAGGTGGGGACTTCCGAGGTGGCGGCGGCGGAGACTTCCGGGGAGCCGGTGGGGGCTTCCGAGGACACGGGGGCTTCCGGGGGCACGGGGGCTTTGGGGGGGGTGGGGGCTATTTTGGACAGGGAAGAGGGGGCGGGGGCTACTAGCAGGCCCCCGTCAGCCGATGCCGCGCGCGATGCATGCTACCTAGTGTCCTGGGGTGTCCCTTCGCGCACCCCTGCGTTTCACCCCCAGCCCCGTCCCCGTGTTCTGTGGTTGTAGTTGCCGCATAACCAAGCATCTAGATCCATTAGTGATTTTGTTTATATTCTGTAAAATAATGACCTATCACACGAGTACCACAGTTTGTATTTTTTCTTTTAAGGAGTAAAGATTTGCCTTTAAAATTAGCTTGATACTTTCTTGCCTTTTGTTTATTAGCACGGTAGGAAATAAAGTATGACGCTGAACACTGGCCCTCGAGCTGATTGCTGTCTTAAACGTGAGGAAGATTTTACTTCCTGCATCAAAATTAAAAGGATGCCCAGGGCTGGAGTGAGAGCACAGCGGGGAGGGCGTTCGCCTGGCACAGGGCTACCGAGGTTCGCTCCTCAGCATCTCCTAGGAACACAAGTGTCAACTAGGGCTAAACCGTTTGACTTTGCCTTCGAGAGCAGAAATTCTCAGACTCGCTATTGTTTCCAGGGTAGACGATAGAATTCACTTTTTTAAAGAAATTTTTTCTTACTGGGTTGGTAACTTTTTGTTTCAATAAAATTTGCCAGTGTCTAAGAACGTATTTAAGAATTCTTGGGTTCATTTTGGGATGGGCATTATTTTTGGTCTCCGACTTGATTGACAAAGTACTGGGCACAGTTTCACAGTAAAGGATCGGGGTCGGGCACTCACCGCGCACGCAGCTCCCCGGGGTCAAACCCCAGCACCCCTATGGTCGCCAGGAGTGAGCCCTTGGGCACAGCCAGGTGTGGCCCCAAAGAGTTAAATAACAGAAAAATCTGCTTCGCTGCCTCTCGTTTGTTTGCTGGGGATGGAGCCCACGATTCACCCAGAAGCTTGTATTCAACACGGAGCCCCAGAAATCTGAAGTCCAAAAACCAGTGTGGTCGGTGCATGCCGGGTAATCGGTAGGCACTGGGGGGCGGGGGGGGCGTTCGGGTGTGTGGGTGCCCTCCATTTTGAACAGTGGTACTTCCGGGAAGATGCGGGCCCCAACTTCCAACTGGAAGTGGAAGGATGTTTCTGGATGCCAACGGATGGCGCAGAAGCCAAGTCAGCACGCAGACGCCCAAACATGAGTGTATTTTAATGCAACAAGTGTACAGACGTGAGGCGCCCCCTCGCAGGACGCCTCAGCTCGTGACAATCCTGATGTCACCCTTGAGGTTGGCCTCGATCTTGTTGTTCTTCATCTCCAGGTTCAGGTTCTGCATCACCTTGGCCAGCGTCTTGGCCTCTTTCTTATCGCCGGAAGCGACCCCTTTGTCCAGGGCCTCTTCGGACACGACGAAGAACTGCTCGGCGGGCTGGAGGATGCTCACGCCGTAGCCGTTGTTGCTGTAAATGTGGTTGCGCGTCATCTTCAGCTTGGGGGCCGGGAGCACCTGTGGGGTTGGGCGGGAGGTCAGTTTTGCTGCCGTTTCTAAGGAAACAAGACGCGGGGGGGCATAAACCCCAGGGGGCTACGCTCACCTGCACCTTGCCCTCGGTGGCACGGAACCCGCCTGGCCAGGGGTACGCCCCCAACCCCACACATTTTCGTAAAATAATCGGAACCGGGGCTGGAGCATAGGACAATGGGTACAGCATTTGCCTTGCCAGGTTCGATCCCCTGCATCCCATGGGCTCCCCCAAGCACCACCAGGAGTGATTCCTGAGGGCAGAGCCAGGAGTCAGCCCTGAGCACCGCCAGGTGTGATCCAAAAAGCCCCCCTCCCCCAAAAAATCGAATTCTTATCCCTTGGTGCAGTGGTAAGTGCAGACCCTGTATGTATAGACCCGAGTTCAGTCCCTAGAAGTGTTCAGAAAATAGGAGTGGGATGGGTCCCCTGAGCACAGAGCCAGGAGTCAGCCCTGAGCACTGCCAGGTGTGGTCAAAGGGGAAGGAGCCCCTTTGTTATTGCAAGCCATTTGCTAAAACTTCAAGTTGATGACCGGTGTGATGGTAGAGTGAGAAGACACTTGCTTTGCACTCAGCCGACCTGGGTTTGATTCCCGGCATCCCATAGGGTCCCCTGAGCACAGTCAGGAGTTAAGCCCAGAGTACCACTAGGCATGACCCTGAAACAGATTCAAGAATTTGGGGGCTGGAGTGATAGCACAGTGGGGAGGGCGTTTGCCTTGCACGTGGCCAACCTGGATTCGATCCCCAGCATCCCCTAGGGTTCCCTGAGCACCGCCAGGAGTCAGCCCTGAGCATCGCCGGGTGTGACCCAAAAAGCAAAAACTAAAAATAAATTGGAATGACCAATTGTCAGACCAGAGAGGGAGGAGTCTCCAGGTTTGAGCACAGCCTCCTGCAGACCTGAGGTTGGATGCTGGCGGGGTGTGATCGGCCAAGCACCCCTGGGTGTAGTGGTCCTCAGCACCCAACCAACCTGCTAACCATTTCCTCTATTAAGACTCTATTAAGAAATAGCATTTCCTGTATTCCTGGAAACCTTGGTGGTCACATCCACACCCCAGAGCTGCCACCCAACTGAAAAGCTACTCCAGCCCGATAAAAAATATCGAACAGGGGCTGGAGAAATAGCACAGCGGGGAGGGCGTTGGCCTTGCACACAGCCGATCCGGGTTCGATTCCCAGCATCCCATAGGGTCCTCCGAGCACCGCCAGGAGTGATGGCTGAGTGCAGAGCCAGCACTCAGCCCCGAGCATCGCCGGCTGTGACCCCCCCAACCAAAAAAAAAATTCTTTAAGCAATGTTGAGTATATGCCCAATTCCATCAGCTTAATCATTGGCTGAATATATTTAAAATATATATATATATCATACCTTCATATTTACTCCCCCGACAGTGCTCTTCGAGCTGTCGGTGGTTCTGAGGTTATTGCAGTGGTGAATCTCATTCCTTTCCAGAACGGCTGTACTTCCGGGGTACAGCTCGACTCCCGCGCCCTGGGGAGACAGACAACAGCCTGGGAATCGGGGGGCTGGTGGGGAGGGCACTTGCCTTGCATACGGTTTGGGTGGTTGGATCTCCAGCCTCCCCCCCCCCATCCCCCAAGACCCCTCCAGGAGTGATCTCTGAGCACAGAGCCAGGAGTCAGCCCTGAGGGCAGGGCCCCAACTCCGAAAGGACGGGGTGGGGGAAGGAACTAGGACCCACACCACACACATCCCCCAGGATTCCTGCAAAATAGTGATTCTCCGCCATCTCCGCAACGGAGGATGTTCTGAAAGGCTGAAAACGGCAGGCCAGAGAGCGAGCAAAGAGGGGAGGGCATTTGCCTGGCACGCGGCCAACCCAGGTTCGATCCCCGGCATCCCAGAGGGTCCCCCGAGCACCGCCAGGAGTGATCCCTGAGAGCAGAGCCAGAAGAGACCCCTGAGCATCGCTGGCTGGGACCCAAAAAACAATGCGCGCTTTCCTCATACTCAGAACTACTTAGGAAGAATTGAAGGGGCTGGAGCGAGAGCACAGCGGGGAGGGCGTTTGCCTTGCACACAGCCCATCTTCGTTCGATCTCTGGCATCCCATAGGATACCCCCCAAGCACTGCCAGGAGTGATCCCTGAGTGAAGAGTCAGGAGTCAGCCCTGAGCATCGCCGGATGTGGCGAAGGAAGGAAGAAGGGAGGGAGGGAAGGAAGGAAGGTGGGAAGGAAGATGGGTGATAAGGGAAGGAAGGAAGGAAGGAAGGAAGGAAGGAAGGAAGGAAGGAAGGAAGGAAGGAAGATGGTTAGGAGGGAACGGAAGTAAGGAGGGAGGGAGGGAAAGAAGGAAGGAAGGAAGATGGTTAGGAAAGGAGGAGGGAAGGAAGATGGAAGGAAGGAAGGAAGATGGTTAGGAAGGAAGGAGGGAAAGGAGGGAGGGAGGAAGGAAGGAAGGAAGGAAGGAAGGAAGGAAGGAAGGAAGGAAGGAAGGAAGGAAGGAAGATGGTTAGGAAAGGAGGGAAAGGGGGAAGGAAGGAAGGTAGTTGGGAAGAAAGGGAGGGAGGGAGGGAGGAAGAGAACAGAGCCAGGATGCTCCCCTGAGCACTGTGGGGGGTGGCCCGAGCACCCAGGACACCGCCTCCGGTCACTGAGGCTCAGCCGCGAGGGCGCACCTGGGCGCCCGTGATCTCGCTGTCCGTGACGGTGAGCGCGGCGCCCGTGAGCACGCACACGCCCGTCCCTTCACACTTGAGCACGCAGTCCTGCAGCGTCAGGTGGCCCGACTCCACCACCACGATGCCGTCCACCGTCCCCTGCTGGATCAGCGACAGGTGCTCGAGCTTCACGTTCTCCGCCTTGGACACCACGAAACTGTCGTGGGACGGCTCCGATGTGATCACGATCTCCTCTCTCCTCCCCACGCCTGCGTGCAGGGAGAGACCCGGGGTGACGTCAGTGACCCATCCCCACCCGCCCAGGCTAAAGACACTTCATTATTACTAGGCTTGTTTCTGTACATTTGGGGGCCGTACCCAACAGTGCTCGGGCTCACCCAAAGTGCTCAGAGCTCACCAAACAATGCTTGTGCTCACCCCGACAGTGCTCAGGGAATCACCCAACCAGTGCTCAGGGCTTACTCCTGGCTCTGCACTGCAGGGCTTGGAACCAGGTGTGTTGCCAGGATCGAATCTGGGTCAACCTCATGCAAGGCAAATGACTTACCCACTATTGTCTCTCTCCGACCCAAAACCATTTTTTTTTTTTTTGCTTTTTGGGTCACACCTGGCGATGCTCAGGGGCTCCTCCTGGCTCTACACTCAGGAATCACTCCTGGCGGTGCTCGGGGGACCATAGGGGATGCTGGGAATCGAACCTGGGTCGGCCGCGTGCAAGGCAAATGCCCTACACGCTGTGCTACTGCTCCAGCCCCATTGTGGTCTTTTTGTTGTTGTTGTTGTTGTTGTTGTTGTTGTTGTTTTTTGCTTTTTGCTTTTTGGGTCACACCCGGCGATGCTCGGGGCTTACTCCTGGCTCATGCACTCAGGAATTCCTCCTGGCGGTGCTCGGGGGACCATATGGGATGCTGGGAATCGAACCCGTGTTGGCCATGTTGGCTGCGTGCAAGGCAAACGCCCTACCCGCTATGCTATCGCTCCAGCCCCCAAACCATGTTTTATAACGTAAAATTTGTTCATCAGAGGCCAGTATGAGAGAGGACAGGAGGGAGGATGTTTTCCTCGGATGCAGCTGACCCGGGTTCGGTTCCCGGCATCCCCTAGGGTCCCCCGAGCACCACAAGGAGTGATTCCTGCGTGCAGAGCCGGGAGTCAGCCCTGAACAATTCTAGCTCCCTCAAAAAAATAAATGAGATAGATTAGGGTCTGAGAGATTGTACAGCAGGGAGGGTGTTTGCCCTACACACAGCCGACCCGGGTTCGATCCCCAACATCCCATAAGGCCCCCCAGGCACCGCCAGAAGTGATCGCTGAGCACAGAGGCAGGAGTCAGCCCTGCGCACCACCAGGTGTGGACCCAAAGCAAACAGAGGGGAACCTTTTATCACGATGTCATCGGTCAGCAGGGCCAGATTGACAGCTTGGTATTCTCCCGGGAAGATGACCACAGTGTCGCCGCTGTAGCAGTTGTCCAGGGCCAGATCCAGATCATCGTGTTGTTGGAGAAGTGTGTCTGAAGACAAGTCCTTCACCTGAAAGGCAGACACGGAGACGGGGCCCCATCAGTGACCCGGGAAACGGGGCCGTCAGCCAGCACCTTCTTTGCCGTGGCTGGCTCGCCATAAATGTTGCATACAACGAGGAGAAAGGAGGACCAGTCCAGGGGCTGGAGCAGGAGCACAGCAGGGAGGGCGTCCGCCTTGCACACGTGGACCCGGGTTCAATCCCCGGCACCCCATAGGGCCCCCCGAGCACCGCCAGGAGTGATTCCTGAGCGCAGAGCCAGGAGTCAGCACTGAGCACTGTCAGACGTGACCCCAATCCACACAGGTGTGAAAATCAACCTCAAATAATCACCTTTTGTTATAGATTAAATGCATTTAGATTTCATATTTATTATGAACTAAAGCAGAATTGAGGGCAATTTACCATGTCCGTGGTCATCACTTTTGCCACAATATGTGTTATCGTCTTCCCAGAGTCTCGTTTTCCTTTTCTCCGCCTCAGAATTCTTGGAAAGAAAGGTCCATGAACTCTAAATGGGGAAAAAAAGCACATACTTAAGATGCAAGGGAAATAAATTAGGGCACTCAGGTGAAAAAGGTTCCACCCTCTACTTGTTTAGAAAACCAACGCTTGGTTCGAAGCAGGCCTGGGGAGTAGGTTTCATTCATGTCAGCTACTTTTTTTTTTTTTTTTGCTTTTTGGGTCCCGCCCAGCGATGCTCAGGGCTGACTTCTGGCTCTGCACTCAGGAATCACTCCTGGCGGTCCCACACAATTCTTCACGCGGCTGATTCTGGTTCAATCTCTGGCATCCCACTGGGTCCTCTAATCACCGCCAGGAGTGATCGCTAAGTGCAGAACCAAGGGTCAGCCCTGAGCATCGCCGGTTTGGACCCCCCCCCCCAAAAAAGAAAAAAGAAAGATCCAGACAGGGGGGTTGAAAGGAGCTGTAAGTTCAGGAGCCAGACAATATCATAGTGGGGTTGCTGGCCTGGCCTTGCTCATTTTCGACTCAGGTTCGATTCCCAGCAACCCATAGGGTTCCCCAAACCTCACCAGGAGTGATTCCTGAGAGCAGGAGTCAGCCCTGAGACCACTGGGTGTGGCCGAAAAATCAATAAACCAATAAACATGGAAAGGACTAGGTTTTTGAGATTTTTTTTTCCCCTCTCCCCTCCAAAAAAAAAAAAAGGATTTCTGCAAATTGCACTAATAGAAAAAAATTTCCACGGAGTAGACAGTGCAGTACATAGGGTTGATCCCTCCACACAATCTGGTCCCCTGAGTCAAGCCAGGTGTAATCCCTGAGCACCGGCCGGGTATCGAACCTGAGACAAACAGAATAATGATTTCCAGTATTGGCAATTGCCAAGTGTGCTTTTTTCCAAACCAGTTGGACATTGAATGTTTCCATCGGGGTAAGCTATAGGACAAGAAAAAAGAAATGACGGGGGCCGGAGCAATAGTCCAGCAGGGAGGGCATTTGCCTTGCACATGGCCGACCCGGATTCGATCCCCAGCATCCCACAGGGTCCCCTGAGCACCGCCAGGAGTGATTCCTGAGTGCAGAACCAGGAGGAACCCCTGAGCATCGCCGGATGTGACCCAAAAAGAAAAAAAATTAAAGAAATGAACTACATCATCTTGCTGCTTCCAAGGGGCCGGTGGCATGTTACCGGAGTCGAAGATCTTCCCACATCTTCAGTAACCCGCAGAGCATGACGATCTCGTAGTATTTCTTCCAGCATTCGACGGCCTCCGTCGCCGAGGGGTCTTCCTTGATGTTGCTCTGATACTCAATGAGCTCAACGCGCTTGTTCTTGTATTTATCCAAAGTCTTTTTAAAACGCTGTGCAATCGGCCCGGGGATGGTCCCGTCCTGAATATCACACCACCTGCAAGAGGTCTACATGGTTAACAGGGTTCGCCCTGGACCCTGTGTGGGTGCAGTTTTGGTGGGTTTATTATTTATTTATTTATTTATTTATTGCTTTTTGAGTCCCACCCGGCGATGTTCAGGGCTTACTCTGGGCAGTGCTCAGGGGACCACATGGGGTGTCAGGGATCGAACCCGTCTCCGCCGTGTGCAAAGCAAACACCCCTACTCCCAGCGTTTGCTGTAGTATCACTCTGGCCTCTATAGGCTCATTTTAACTGACACTTTTTTTTTTCTTCTTGGGTCCCACACGGTGATGCTCAGGGCTGACTCCTGGCTCTGCACTCCGGAATCACTCCTGGCGATGCTCGGGGGACCCTATGGGGTGCTGGGGATCGAACCCAGATCGGCCACATGCAAGGCCAACACCCTCCCCGCTGTGCTCTCACTCGGGCCAACGAGTGCATTCTAATGGTACTTACAAATTAATTCTCTCTTCAATCAGAGCAGTGTAATTCTCACAACTTTCTTCGTCATCCCAGTCGCGCCAAAGAAAGTCATAAAAAAATCTGCGAGGAAATTACATCAAGATGAGAGAGGGACGTTGAGAACTAGCCCGTGCCATGGTTAGAATGAAAGGGACATTCTGGAGTCGAAGCGATAGGACAGCGGGGAGAGCATTGGCCTTGCACGTGGCCGACCTGGGTTCGATCTCCGGCATCCCATTAGGGTCCCCCGAGCACCGCCAGGAGTGATTCCTGAGTGCAGAGCCAGGAGCCAGCCCTGAGCATTTTCCGAGCCAGGAATAACCCCTGTGCATCGCCGGGTGTGACCCAAAAAGAAAAAAAAAAGATTCTAAAAATTGAATTTATCTTGAGGGCAGGGGGTGAGACTTTGGGTTACACGTAACGGTGCTCAAGGCTTAGTGCTCAGACTGTGTCTGTGCTCAGGGATCACTCCCAATGGGGCTCAGAGCTGGATCATACCCAGGTTGGCCGCATTCAAGGCGAAAGCCCTACCCTTTGTATTCTATCTGCTTTAGCTTTTAGGTATTTTTAGTTCTTTTGTTTGTTTTATTTGGGGTCCACACCTGGCGATGCTCAGGACTGACTCCCGGCTCTGCACTCAGGAATCACTCCTGGCGGTGCTCGGGGGACCCTAGGGGATGCCGGGGATCGAACCCGGGTCGGCTGTGTGGAGGGCAAACACCCTCCCAGCTGTGCTATCGCTCCAGCCCCTCTGGCCTCTCTTTCAGGTATTTCAGTGCATTTTTCTTGAAGTATGATTGTAAAATCTAGGTACCGAATTTCATGTTTTCTCACCAAAGAAATAAAATATAAATCAAATTTGTCTGTGGAAGGGGCTGGAGCAATAGCACAGCGCGTAGGGCATTTTCCTTGCACGCGGCCAACCTGGGTTCGATTCCCAGCATCCCATATGGTCCCCTGAGCACCACCAGGAGTGATTCTTGAGTGCAGAGTCAGGAGTAACCCCTGTGCATCACCAAGTGTGACCCCAAAAAAAATTGTCTGTGGAGGGAGACATTGAAAATACAGTAACGGTCCCCCAAATATTCTATATTCAGAGCTTCTTTCATATTGTCCTAATTTGTAAAAACAAATCCCAATGCATCTGGTATTTCTGATATTTTTGAATGTGAAAAATTAAAAAATTTTTTTTGCTTTTTGCGTCACACCGGTGATGCTCAGGGGTTCCTCCTGGCTCTGCACTCAGGAATCACTCCTGGCGGTGCTTGGGGGACCCTATGGGATGCCGGGGATCGAACCTGGGTCGATTAAAGGGCCAGACAAATGCCCTCCCCGCTGTGCTACTGCTCCAGCCCAAATATAACGCATTTGTATCACTACTATTGCTACAGACTTTGCATGCAGGCGACTTGGGTTACTCCCCTGAACCACTTGGTCCCCCCAAAGCATTGGCTATTCCCATTATCCATCGTGGGTGGGGTCCTAGCATTGAGCTTCTTGGGCTCGTCCTTGGGGCCCAGGGCCTCCCTGAGCACTGCTCGGGGGACCGGAAATGAACGGACTCAGGACCTGACAACTTCCAGAGCCAAGGCGATATCCTGGGTGTCCTGCCCGTCCACGGGGTACACCTCCAGCAGGGGGACGCTGTGTTCTAGCTCCTTCAGAATCTCATCCACGAGTTTCCTGGGAATATTGGCAATGTTGGACGAGAAGGGCTCGGCCACGGAAACGGTGACTTTGAAGCAACAGGACGAGCTGTGGCAGGGTTTGCAGGTCACCTAAGGATGGACATCAAGTCAGCGTCACTCTGGGCCCTCGGCCCGGGTGGACGCTCCCTGGGAAGGCGCTTCCTCCACACGCTTCCTGCTTCCTCTGAGAAGCAACCGATAGGCTCGTTACTGCCCCACATAAATGAAAAAAAACTCATGAGAAATCGCGATTTAGGGGCTGGAGGTATAAGAGCACAGCGGGGAGGGCGTTTGCCTGGCATGTGGCCGACCCGGGTTCAATCCCCAGCATCCCATAGGGTCCCCCGAGCACCGCCAGGAGTAATTTTTGAGTGCAGAGCCAGGATTAACCCCTGTGCATTGCCGGGTGTGACCCAAAAAAGAAAACAAACAAATAAAAATGAACAAATCCTGGATTCTGTCTCATCTCTATCAGTTTATTGCTCTCTGCGGAGCCCCGCCCACCTCCAGGGAAGGCCCCGCCCTCCGGAGCCCGCCCCCTACACCCTTGGCCTATCCTGAGCTGCGTTTCTCTCTGAGCCCCTCCCACCCCAGGCAGGCCCCGCCCTCTGTAGCCCCGCCCCCATGCACCCTTGGCCTATCCTGAGCTGTGCTTCTCTCGGAGCCCCGCCCACCTCCAGGCAAGCCTCGCCCCCTGCACCCTTGGCCTATCCTGAGCTTCGCTTCTCTCGGAGCCCCTCCCACCTCCAGACCAGGCCCCGCCCTCCTGAGCCCGCACCCTGCCCCCTTGGCTTATCCTGAGTTGCGTTTCTCTCGAATCACCTCCCACCTTCAGGGAAGGCCACGCCCTCCGGAGCCCCGACCCTCCGTCCTTGGCCTATCCTGAGCTGCGCTTCTCTCGGAGCCCCTCCCGCCTCCAGGCCAGGCCCCGAACCCCCGAAGCCCGGGCCGGAACAAATCCTGGATTCCATCTCATCTTTATCAGTTTCTGCGGAGCTCCGCCCACCTCCAGGCAGGCCCCGCCCTCCTGAGCCCCGCCCCTTGCACCCTTGGCCTATCCTGAGCTGCGATGCACAGAGGTTACTCCTGGCTCATACACTCAGGAATCATTCCTGATGGTGCTCCCGGGATCCTCTGGGATGGGATCCTATGAGCTGGGCTTCTGTCGGAGCCCCTCTCACCTCCAGGCAGCCCCCCTTCCGTCCTGCAAAGCCCCACCGCCTGCACCCTTGGCCTATCCTGAGCTGCGCTTCTCTCAGAGCCCCGCCCAGCTCCAGGCCAGGCCCCTCCCCTCGGAGCCCTGCTCCCTGCACCCTTGGCCTATCCTGAGCTGCGCTTCCCTCGGAGCCCCTCCCACCTCCGGGGTAGGTCCCGCCCCAGAACCCCGCCCACTGCATCCTTGGCCTATCCTGAACTGCGCTTCCCTCGGAGCCCCTCCCACCTCCAGACCAGGCCCCGCCCCTTACATCCTTGGCCTATCCTGAGCTGCGCTTCCCTCGGAGCCCCTCCCACCTCCGGGGTAGGCCCCGCCCCAGAACCCCGCCCCCTGCACCCTTGGCCTATCCTGAGCTGCTCTTCTCTCAGAGCCCCGCCCAGCTCCAGGCCAGGCCCCGCCCCTCGGAGCCCCGCCCCCTGCACCCTTGGCCTATCCTGAGCTGCGCTTCTCTCAGAGCCCCGCCCACCTCCAGGCCAGGCCCTGCCCCCGGAGCCGGGGCCCCGCCCGCCAAGGCTGCTCCTCCGCCCCCCACGCCCCCGACCCGGTGCCCACACCCGCGCCCCCTGGTCTCCAGAGAACAGCGATGAGGCAAAAACTCATTCACCTCTACCAGGATGCCAACAAAGGGGATAGACGCTTCCTCGTATTTCACGAAGAACAGCTCGGGGTTCGTCTTCCACACGCCCAGCCACTTGTCCTTAAACTTCAGCTTCTCCGAGAGGTATTTGCTCATGGCGTCGTCAGCATCTTCGGCCTGGCCAAGGGAAAACGCGTGTGTGTGGCGCCAGGTTAGAGCAGGTGCTCTGAGGAGACCTGCGTTACTGGGGAGGGCGCGGGCCTGGCACGGGGTGGACCCGAGTTCGATCCCCGGCGTCCCACAGGGTCCCCCAAGCACCGCCAGGAGTGATCCCTGAGTGCAGAGGCAGCAGTCAGCTCTGAGCATCGCTGGGTGGGACCCACCCCCCAAAAGGAAAACAAGGAAACAAACAAACAAAGACATTCTAGAAATTGGACTTATCTTGAGGGCAGGGGGTGAGAGTTTGGGTCACATCTAAGGGTGCTCAAAGCTGAGTGCTCAGGCTGTGTCTGTACTCAGGGACCACTCCCCATGGGGCTCAGAGCCAGGGGTCAGCCCTGAGCACCCCCGGGTCACTGGGCTTTGGTCACTGGCTACCAGAAGAGGGGCCGGCTGGTGACCTAGGCTGGACACCCGCGCTGACCCGCTGCATGCTGGCCACTGCATGCTGGACGCCTGAGCTGGGTTGCAGCTGCACTGGCCACTGCATGCTGGACGCCTGAGCTGGGTTGCAGCCCGGCTGGCCACTGCATGCTGGACGCCCGAGCTGGATTGCAGCTGCACTGGCCATTGCATGCTGGACGCCCGAGCTGGGCTGCAGCCCCACTGGCCACTGCCTGCTGGACGCCCGCGCTGGGCTGCAGCCGCACTGGCCACTGCATGCTGGACGCCCGCGCTGGACTGCAGCCTCGCTGGCCACTGCATGCTGGCCTCCCGCGCTGGCCGGGCAGCGGTCACCTTGCAGCCCTGCAGCACCTCGTCGCAGTACAGCGCCACCTTCTCGTCGCGCCACATGCCCCGCATGGGGGACAGGCACACGGCGGGCAGCGGCCGCGCCTCCCCGGCCTCCTCCCCGGCCGCCTCCCCGGCCGCCTCCCCTTCCACGTCCTCGTCCTCCTCGGGCACCGCCTCCAGCTCGTCGGGGCCCGCGCCCGGGCCCAGCTGCAGCCGCCGCCGTGGGCCGTCCCGGGCCGCCCGCGCCTTCACGGGTCGCGGCGAAGCCACCACCGAGCGCACCGGGGACGCGGGCCCGCCCGGCACGGCCGCCATCGCCCGGCCGTTAGCAACGGGCTGGCTCGAGGGCCCACGGGCTGCCGGGGTCCGAGGCGCGGGGACCCTAGGAGCGGCTGCGGCGGGCGGAGCCCGGGCTCCCGGGGCGGGGCCTGACCTGGAGGTGGGAGGGGCTCTGAGGGAAGCGCAGCTCAGGATAGGCCAAGGATGTAAGGGGCGGGGCCTGGTCTGGAGGTGGGCGGGGCTCCGAGAGAAGCGCAGCTCAGGATAGGCCAAGGATGCAGTGGGCGGGGCTCCGGGGCGGGGCCTGACCTGGAGGTGGGAGGGGCTCTGAGAGAAGCGCAGCTCAGGATAGGCCAAGGATGCAGGGGGCGGGGCTCCGGGGGCCGGGCGTGACCTGGAAGTGGGAGGGGCTCCGAGGGAAGCGCAGCTCAGGATAGGCCAAGGATATAAGGGGCGGGGCCTGGTCTGGAGGTGGGTGGGGCTCCGAGGGAAGTGCAGTTCAGGATAGGCCAAGGATGCAGTGGGCGGGGCTCTGGGGCGGGGCCTGGTCTGGAAGTGGGGCGGGGCTCCGAGGGAAGAGCAGCTCAGGATGGGCCAAGGGTGCAGGGGGCGGGGCTCTGCTGTAGGCGGTGCTCCGAGGGGAGGGGCGGGGCACTGTGGGCAGGGACTATGGGCACTGTGGGCTGGGCTTTGATTGGGGCGGGGCTTCACACGTAAGGGTGGGGCATTATGGGCAGAGACCTAGGGCACTGGGGGCGGGGCTCTGCTTGGGGAGGGGCTCCAAGGGAAGGGGTGGGGCGCTGTGGGTGGGGCTCTCGTGTGAATGGGGAACCTGTGGGCGGGGCTCTAAAGGAGGGTGGGGCGCTGTGGGCGGGGCTAAGACGAAGGGGCGGGGCTCTGGAGGGGATTAGGGGTGATGGGCGGGGCTATCGTGGAAGGGGCGGAGCTTTGGGGGAAATTGGTGGGCCGGGTTCTGGAGGAAATTGGGGGGCTGTGGGCGAGGCTACTGTGGAAGGGGCAGGGCTCTGAGGGTCCTGGAGGCTCCACCTCCCCAGGCCCCCAGGGAGAGGGCTGGTCTGATTTCAGGTCTCTGTTCTGGGGCTCACTTTTCTTTTTCAAATTTAATTTAATTTTTTTTAATGAATCACCGTGAGATACAGATACAGGCTTTCATGTTTGAGTTTCAGCCATACAATGACAGAACCCCCATCCATCCCTCCACCAGTGCCCAGTCCCCACCACCAATGTCCCAGGATCCCCCTCCTCCCCTCCCCCGCATCCCAGCCCTCCCCATGCCTCCATGGCAAACAATTTCTGGGGCTCCCTTTCACAGGAAAGGTAATTACATGAGCTCAGCGGAATCTGTGCTTGGCCTGCAGGAGGTCACTGCTCTGTCCCCAGCCCTGCATGGTCCCGCGTACTCCAGGGGCACCCCTGGGCCAGGTCCCAGGCTCCAGCACCCAGAGTTTACTGCAGCCGTGCATGAGGCTTGTTACCGTTAATATTAAAACAATTAATATTGGGGGCTGGAGTGATAGCACAACAGGGAGGGCGTTTGATCCCCGGCATCCCAATCGGGTCCCCTGAGCATCGCCAGGAGTGATTCCTGAGTGCAAAACCAGGAGTCAGCCCTGAGCAATCCCGAGTATGACTCAAAAAGAAAAAAAAAAGGACGGGAGAGAGTGGGAGAAGCCTGTGGAAACCTTTGTTCCCTCCTTAGAGTGTGCAGGAGACCCATCGACCCGCTCTGTGGGCGTCTCTTCAACCTATTTTATTGCATTCTTTATTTTATCTGGCAGCGGGCAAAGTTTGCTTAGTCAGAAGCCTCTGCAGATAAGAGCAGAATTCCACCTCCCTCTCCCCACGTCCATTTTCTTCCCCCGCCACTTTTTTTTTTTGGCTTTCTGGGTCACACCTGGCAATGCACAGGGGTTACTCCTGACTCATGCACTCAGGAATTACTCCTGGCGGTGCTCAGGGGACCATATGGGATGCTGGGAATCGAACCCGGGTCGGCCGCGGGCAAGGAAAACGCCCTACTCGCTGTGCTATCACTCCAGCGCCCCGCCCCCCCCCCCCACACACACTTTGAATAGCACTGTAGCACTGTCCTCCCGTTGTTCATTGATTTGCTGGAGCGGACACCAGTCACGTCTCCATGGTGAGACTTGTTGTGACTGTGTTTGGCATCTCTAAGACGCCACCGGGAGCTTGCCAGGCTTTGCGTGCGGGCGAGATATTCTTGGTAGCTTGCCGGGCTCTCCGAGAGGGCGGAGGAATCGAACCCGAGTTGGCCAAGTCGGCCGCATACAAGGCAAACGCTCTACCCGTTGTGCTATCGCACTTTGGATAACGATTTCATAAATCTTGAATTGGCTACTAATGTGTAACTCATCTCTTTGTATTTTTATTTTTTTATCTTCTTTTTTTCTTTTTTCTTAGGTTTTGTATTGTTTTGGGCCATGCCCAGCAGGGCTTAGGGGCTATCTGGGTAGTATCAGGAAGACAAGCGGTGAAAGGGATCCAACCTGGACCTCTCTTGTTTGGCTTTTTTGGGTCCCAACCGGCGATGCTCAGGGCTGACTCCTGGCTCTGCACTCAGGAATCACTCCTGGCAGTGCTCAGGGGACCCTATGGGATGCTGGGGATCGAACCCGGGTTGGCCGCGTGCAAGGCAAACACCCTCTCAATGCTGTGCTATCGCTCCAGCCTCTCTTTCTTTTTTCTTTCTCTCTCCTTTCTCTTCTTTTTTCACTCTCCCTCCCTCCTTTCTTCTTCCTTCCTTTCTCTCTTCTTTGTTTCTTTCTTTCTTTCTTTCCTTCCTTCTTTCTCTTTCTTTTTTTTTCTTTTTTGGGTCACACCCAGCGATGCTCAGGAGTTACTCCTGGCTCTGCACTCAGGAATTACCCCTGTTGGTGCTCGGGGGACCATATGGGATGCTGGGAATCGAACCCGGGTCTACCGCATGCAAGGCAAACGCCCTACCCGCTGTGCTATTGCTCCAGCCTCTTTCTTTCTTTCTTTCTTTCTTTCTTTCTTTCTTTCTTTCTCTCTCTCTCTTTCTCTTCCTTCCTTCCTTCCTTCCTCCCTCCCTCCCTCCCTCCCTCCCTCCTTCCTTCCTTCTCCTTCCTTCCTTCCTTCCTTCCTTCCTTCCTTCCTTCCTTCCTTCCTTCCTTCCTTCCTTCCTTCCTTCCTTCCTTCCTTTTTTCCTTCCTCACTCCTGCTGTGCTTGGGGGACCCAGTGGGATGCCGGGGATCGAACCTGGGTTGGCCAAGGGAGAGACAAGCGCTTTCCCGGCCGCCCTATCAATTCAGCCCCAAAACTTTGCTTTTTCTCTCTGAGAACAAGAGTTTCCCCCCCCCATCCCCCACTTCCATCAGGTTTTGATACTAAGTAAAAGTAAAAGTAAAAGTAACTGCCCGCAACTGTTGCACAGCGGAGGGAGCCTGTAGTTTCTCCGTGCGGCCAGCAGGGAGCGCCAGAGAGCTTTTGGCCCGCATCAGGCCCGTTTCCCCCGGTGCTGGGTGGGGTCAGGAATTTACCCTCATTCCTGCACCCTCAGGCCTGACTCAGAGACCAGCGACGCCGCCAGAGGACAAGCTGGGGCCTGACTCTCCCCCTCTGACCGAGTCCAGCTGAGCCTGGAGCCCCTGGACAAGAAGAATCTCCCCTGACGCTTGTTTCTGGCTTCTGCTTCTGTTTCCCACTGATTTTCTTCATCCTGTCTTATTTTGGGGGGTTGGGGGGTGATTTGGGCCACTCCCCATGCTCAGGGGTTCACTCCTGGCTCAGGGGAGCCAGCCCGGGGCAGCTGCATGCATGACAAGGCGCTACCCACTGTGCTATCTTTCTGGCCCCGTCTCCTACATTTCTTCTTCACAGGAATACAGGTTTTTTATTGCAAGGTCTCCAGGGCAGATAGACAAAGAAAACTTAACGGTAGATTGGGGCGCTCCCGGGAGCTAACAGGACAGAGCAGGTGGGGAGGGCGTTGGCCTGGCACATGGCCGACCCGGGTTCGATCCCCGGCATCCCCTAGGGTCCCCTGAGCACCGCCAGGAGGGATTCCTGAGTGCAGAGCCGGGAGTCAGCCCTGAGCATCGCCGGGTGGGACCCACAAATACAAAATAAAAGACTTTTTGTTTTGTGTTTGGGTCATAACCGGGCAGTGTTTCAGGGCTGACTCTTGGCTCTGAGCTCAGGATCTCCCCCTCCCTTCCCTCCCTTCCCTCCCTTCTTCCCTCCTTCCCTCCCTCTTTTCCTTCCTTCCCTCCTTCCCTCCTCCCTTCCTCCCTTCCTTCTTTCTCTCCTTCCTTTCTTCCCTCCCTCCTTTCTTTCTTTCCCTCCTTCCTCCCTTCCTTTCCTCTCCTTCTTCCTTCCTTTCTTTTTCTTTCTTTCTTTCTTTCTTTCTTTCTTTCCTTTTTTCTCTCTTTCTTTCCTTCCCTCTTTCCCTCCTCCCTCCCTCTCTTTCTTCCTTCCCTGCTCTTTTCTTCTTCCTTTCTTTTTCTCTCTCTCTTTCTTTCTTTCTTTCTTTCTTTCTTTCTTTCTTTCTTTCTTTCCTTCCTTCCCTCCCTCCTTCCTTCCTTCCTTCCTTCTTTCTTTCCTTCTCTCCTTCCTTCCTTCTTTCTTTCTCTTTCTTTCTTTCTTTCTTTCTCCGTCCTTTCTCTCTTTTCTTCCTTCCTTCTTTCTTCCTTCCTTTTCTTTCTTCCTTCCTCTTTCTTTCTCTCCTTCCTTCCTTCCTTCCTTCCTTCCTTTTCTTATTTTCTTTGGAGCCACACCCGGTGGTGCTCAGGGCTTTCTCCTGGCTCAGACGTCAAATCCTGGTGGCACTTGGGGGACCCTGTGGCATGCTGGGGATCAAACATGGGTCAGCCAGGTGCAAGGCCAACTCCCCAGGGTGCTATCACTCCAACCCTCGCACTCTCGAGTTTTCTTTTCTTTTTTTGCTTTTAGGGTCACACCCGGCGATGCACAGGGCTTACCCCTGGCATTGCTCAGGGGACCATAGGGGATGCTGGGAACCGAACCCAGGTCGGCCGCGTGCAAGGCAAACGCCCTAACCGCTGTGCTATCTCTCCAGCCCCTCG